CGAAGAATGGTTGTATTAATTGCCAACACCGTAGTACTTGGTGCATATATGAATACAGACGAACAAATAAATGGCTGTGTTTAACTTATATCCAATACATATGCAGGTGAAAACATGGGCGAAACTGTTGAACACCTTCTGCACGAATGGGAAGCTTGAGCTGGAACTGATATACAAGGTTCAGATGCAGTGCTATGAGGATGCTAAGCTGATGAAGCTGTTCCCTGAAATTGTGAGATCCCTCTATGAACAGGATGTGCTTGCAGAAGACACCATTCTCCATTGGTTCCGCAAAGGAACAAACCCCAAGGGCAGGTGTGTTTTGGTTTCAACATTAAACTATCGGATTACGATATTTAATGCGTTTGCTTGTGGTTTACAATGGGTTTATTGTGTCATTTGTAACTGTAAGTTTACGGAAAATGAATGTTTGCAGGCAAACTTTTGTGAAGGCCCTGGAGCCATTCGTGAACTGGCTGGAGGAGGCAGAAGAGGAGGAATAGACGCAGATGAAGCTGTTGCATCTGTTCAACCGAGGGACCTGTACCCTGCCTCAAGCATCCACTGCCACTGTCAATGACTCAAATCTGTGTACTCGGAGAGAATCAAACTCATAAATAATCTATAAACCTACTTAAGCTTGGTGTGCCTGTTGAATGTTTGATGATGGTGATGATGATGACGACGACGACTACGTCGTTACGAGGATATTACATTATAAATAATTTGATGCATTTTCTTTTATTTCTTTGGCACGATGCTATAATGGATATGATTCGACTCTGTTCATCACATTTTGAAAATTAAATGTGGTTTGATTTTTTGGTTTCTTCTATAAAATTGAGAGTCAATTTTTACTTAAAATATGTGCAATTTCATTACTTAACGTCTAATTAAACAATAATATTAATGGAGAGGTCAGATTGAAAAAAACACGTGATGTAAAATGTAAAGGCTGTAACCTCGTGACTTATCCAATTGAATTAGTTTATTTTTATAGCGGTAAAATTAAGCTTCATATCGTTCGTTACTAGTTACTGCTGCTTTAGAGTATGAGAGGAGGAAGACTCAACGGTTGAGTATCGTCTATGATCCTCTATCTATGCATCCAATGGCGGCGTTATCTTTCCCACCAATGCGAGTCTGCTGCGGCGGAGGCGCCGCCACACACAATAGCACTAGTAACAACAACAATTTACTCGGCAACCACGCGTTCGATGCCGCCCACATCCGGCGCGCTGCGGAGCTGGCCGACAGATCCGCCGGATTCACCTCTCCCCACCCAAACTTCGGGTGCGTCATCGCCTCCAAAACCGGAAAAGTCGCCGGCGAGGGCTTCCTCTACGCCCAGGGCACCAAGCCCGCCGAGGTCCTTGCCGTCGATGCAGCTGGCGACTTCTCACGCCGCGCCACCGCTTATCTCAATATGGAGCCCGGTGATTGCCACGGTGACCACTCCGCCGTCTCCGCTCTCGTTCAGGTTTTGCCTTTTTTTCTCTTCCTTTTCAATTCCCAACTTCCTCCGAGCCGTCGTATAAGGGAAAAGAAAACAATGATTTAGTTATGATTTGTTTGGATTAGGAAGGGAAACAATGATTGAATATTTGATTTGTTTGGATTAGGAAGAGAAACAATGATTGAATATTTGATTTGTTTGGATTAGGCAGGGATTGAAAGGGTGGTGATTGGGTTGAGGCATCCATTGCAGCATTTAAGAGGGAATGCCATTCGGGCTCTGAGAAGTCAAGGCTTGCAAGTTGATGTTCTTGGTGAGGACCTCAACAGTAAACTCATTGAGGTATTTGATCAATTCAATATGCTCATTTCATACCTTAGCGAAACGCTTCTTTTCAATTCCTTGGCGAGTAACATAGGCATTAGGTAGGGATCTTGTGCTCCCAGTTGAAATAACTACGTGTGGTTTACCAAAACAAGACGAAAGCTTTTCTGCGAAATGAGTATCGTTTAACCAAAACAAGACGAAAGCTTTTCTGTGAAATGAGTAGCATTTTAGTTTAGCATGTCATATAATTGATCCAACACCAACAGGAAGTGCGTAAATCATGCCTGCTTGTCAATGCTCCGTTAATCTGTAGAGCTGCTTCTCGAATCCCCTTCTCTGTTCTCAAGTATGCCATGACTCTTGATGGTAAGCTTTCTTTTAGGAATAGTGTAACTTATTCCAATATGAAATTCTGTAAAGAGGCCTAAAAAGTTTACAAATAAAGGCCTAAAAAATTTACAAATAAAGTCTTCTGATAGACTAGTCATTAGTCATTAGTCTTTGTTGGGTGCTGACAGGAAAAATCGCTGCTAGCAGTGGACATGCAGCATGGATCAGCAGCAGAACATCTAGAAATCGAGTTTTTGAACTGCGGGGTAGAAGTGATGCAGTTGTTGTAGGAGGAAATACAGTGCGCAGGGACAGTAAGTATTATCATTTTCTCGACTTTTTGATTGTTCGTGTTAATACTAGTTGCAGATCCTGAAGTTCTGACTTCTTATGTTCTATCTTTTTACTTTTGAACCAGATCCAAGACTAACTGCAAGACATGGTGGTGGGCATATGCCTACGCGGATTGTAATGTCACAGACTCTTGATCTCCCTGAGGAAGCACACCTTTGGGATACCTCTGATGTATCTACTATAGTTGCAACACAAAGGGGTGCAAGAAGGCATTTCCAGAAAGTTCTTGCATCTAAAGGAATTGAAGTGGTGGAGTTTGATATCTTAAACCCTAGAGAAGTAATGGAATACTTCCATAATCGCGGATATCTTTCACTTTTGTGGGAGTGTGGAGGGACATTAGCTGCAGCAGCTATTTCATCTGGAGTAATACATAAGGTTTGTTTCTCCAGCTCCTATTTCTTTCTATGAACTGTTGATCTTCTTCTTTTGTCTGCTTAAAACTGATGGCTTAGAGATGTTGTCATAGTTGTAGTTTCCTCTAGGCTGGAGTGGTACATAAGCTTATCCACAGTTTACTTTTGGAGATCCCGGATCTTTCTTTTGTTGAAAGTGGATTTGTTAACAGGGATTTTGCTTCTGCCACATTCAATGTGTTGCAGGTGTTCGCATTTGTTGCTCCTAAAATTATTGGTGGAAAGAATGCACCATCCCCTGTGGGTGAACTCGGGATGGTTGAAATGACACAAGCCTTTGATCTAATTGATGTCTGCTATGAGCAGGTTGGTGGGGATTTTGGGTACTTCTTCTAGAGATAAATTCTTTCTAATTAATCTTGTATGCTAACAATGTATTCTTTTGTGCTTATATATATATATTCTGCCTCTTGGTTGGATATTTTGTACTTCTGAACTTGAACAACAGGTTGGACCTGATATGCTTGTTGGTGGATTTCTTCAACCCATACCAGATGTGACCCCTGTTATTCCATCAGTTGATGAAACATTTGAAATTGACCCAACTGTGACTCCTTATGAATCAAGGATCATATCCTTCTATAAAACATGGGACCCTTACGGCGCTTTCTCTAATTTTTCACCTCACCAAATTAAGATGCCTGATGACAATGGTGATTATGCAACTTGGTTGAGTGTCGAGCATTACTATCAGGTATTTCCTTTTCTGTATGAATCTGGTTTCCATCTTACAAAAGTAGTCATTCTTACAGAACAATGCTAACATGTAGGCTCAGAAGTTTGTTGGGGTGGATGATCCTGTGGCACAAGAGTGTGTTGAAAATATTAAGTCTGCCAAAAGTCCGGAAGAGGCAGCACGGATAGGAAGGTCAATGCAGAGGAAGCACCCTGATTTGGTATTGTACTTTGTCATTTGATTGGATTTTCAGTTGATCAACTGTGTTGACACGTGATGTAGTCATGATATGCCATGCTATGGTCCTTTATGGAAGATGTTGAAATGATAGTTTGTCCCAATGGTAGTAAGTGACATCATATCATAGTAACACTTTTGGAAGACGACACAGAAAATTTCCATGTCCAGAACAGGAGGATCCTTTGTAGAGACTAAGGTTTCTTGAAGAGAATGAACGCATGTATTTTTGACTCACCTAGTATAATGCATCAATAAGAATAATTAGCAGAAGGAAATAGAAATTGTTTGGAACCGGGATTATTAAACGTTACTGACATGTTCACAATTACTTTTGGTTTATGTTGAAGTTGGTTCAAAATTGTCCTGTGTGCTATGCAGGTAAGGTCGGACTGGGAAAGTGTCAAGATTGAAGTGATGTATAGAGCACTGAAATGCAAGTTCTCGATATATCCACATTTGAATGCTATGTTGCTCTCAACTGTTGGATCTGTTCTTGTTGAAGCTTCACCGCATGATCTTTTCTGGGGAGGAGGTCGGGATGGAGAAGGCCTAAATTATCTGGGCAGGCTTTTAATGCAGTTGAGATCAGAGTTTCTTGGTGAGTCTCCTACATCCGGTTAGAGTTTGTGAGTAGGTGTATAATTTATAACAAATGTGATACCAATCAATGATTTTGTTTGGATTGATTCTCTCCTGTAACATTACGGTTCCTTTACAATAAAATTACAATTCACATATGACACAGATATTGTGTGCACGTGTTACTAATCCATTTGGATCTTCCTTTCATTTTTCAGAAAGGTAAAAATAATGAAAGAGGATACATTTAGTTAAATGAGCACAACATCAATCGATTTACTCGGTGAAAAAAAGAAAATCTACCAAATACACATGTTGGAAGGCCACAGCAGGATTCAACATGGGTAGTCAATGTTTTCCCCCCTAGCGGCTCCTCTCGGTTTTTCTTGCCCTTGGATTTGATGAATTAAAGAAGATCAAGGACTTAAACATGGGGAGCAGTGCATCAGGAAAAAACGAGAGCGAAAATCATTACACTGTACGAAAACAAAGTTACATGTACAAGAAAAGGAGGGGAAACTGCATATACGATCAACATAACAAGCAGCAAGAACAATAACCAGCTAATAGTTGCAAATAGAACACCCTCTAGCAGTAGTGGTTGTGGTTCCTCCACGTATATTAATTAGGTCCATAGCAGAAATCAGTGCATTGTCCTCAATGTTTTGGACTATGCTACCTAACTTGATGCATTATTGCTGTGAAATGAATTGTTTTTTAGAAAACTAATGAAAAATGTTTGAAAATTTTGAGTATTAATGATAAGGACAAAATAAAGGGTAAAGTGAATAGTATCATGATTGACTTTTTAGTGTAAAAATGTGATTTTTTGTTAAAATAAACAATACCGAATGTTTTTCGTTAAAGTTCCTTGTTTTTTGTCTATTACTCGTATTAAAAGTAAAATTTCTCGATCAAGCTAGGCACTGCCGTTGTACCTCTTTTTCTCAATCAAAAAGTAAGAGCTTCTCTAATGTCTCTAATGCTCGACATCCAAATTTTTTTCCTCGCTGTAATATTTACTTGTCTGGTCGCCCTTGTTACCCCCCTTGTTATATATTGGAAGAGGCATGCTACTAGTACTACAACTGTTCGGCTGCCCCCGGGGCCATGGAAGGTGCCTCTCATCGGAAACTTGCATCAAATGGCCGCCAGCTCTTTACCCCATCACTGCATGACAGACTTGGCCAACAAGTATGGCCCTATCATGCACCTCAAACTGGGACAACTCTCAGCCGTAGTCATTTCATCGCCGGAATTTGTTCAAGAGATGCTGAAGACGCATGATGTTGCTTTCTCACAACGCCCAACGTTTCTTGCTGCTGAAATTTTGTCCTATAATTCAGGGATCATCTTTTCTCCTTATAACGATTTTTGGAGACAAATGCGAAAGATTTGCATGCTGGAGCTCCTTAGTGCAAAACGCGTGGAGTCATTTGCATCAATAAGACAAGAAGAGGCATCAAATCTTGTTGAATCAATTTCCTTATCAGATGGTCATCCGTTCAATCTCAGTGAAATGATCTTCTCCCTGCAAAGCGTCATTATTGCCCGTGCGGCCTTTGGAAAGAAGTGCAAGTATCAACAAGAGTTTTTATCACAGCTCCAGGATGCAGTTAGGCTTGCAGCAGAATTTGATGTGCCGGATTTGTTCCCTTCACTCAAATTCCTCCGTTATGTCATAAATTTGAAGCCTGCGGTTGAGAAAGTACACCAGAAAATGGACAAGATCCTTGATGAAATTATCAGCGATCATAGAGTGAAAAGAAATGAGGAATCAGCTGCCGGAGACGACCATCAGGAAGATATAGTTGATGTGCTACTGCGGCTCCAGGAGTCTGGTGAGCTCCAATTTGATCTCACAACCACCCAAATCAAAGCTGTCACCCTGGTAATTAATGAGCGCCATTTCATATATACATCTCTTACTTTTATTACTTGTTTTCTTTCGTTCTTTCTTGATTAAAATTGATCTATTGATTATGTTATTTTAAAAGCGCATTAAGTGAACAAATAAGTACTTTTCTTATATAGGACATGTTTTCTGCTGGAAGTGAGACTTCAGCAACTACTACAGAATGGGCAATGGCTGAACTTCTGAGAAGTCCAAGAGCAATGAAAAAAGCACAGGCCGAGGTACGCCAACTTGTCGGAGGAAAGGGGAAGATTGAAGAGTCAGACATTAAGAAACTCGACTACTTAAATTTGGTCATAAGGGAAACTCTACGATTACACCCTCCTCCCTTCATCCCAAGACAAGCAAGCGAAAAATGCACTATTGGCGGGTATGATATACCAACTGAAGCAACAGTCTTCATCAATGCTTGGGGAATTGGGAGAGACCCCAAGTATTGGGAGAATGCTGATTGTTTTCTGCCGGAGAGATTCCAAGGCTCTTCTGTTGATTTTCGAGGGACCAACTTTGAATTGGTTCCATCTGGGGGTGGCAGGAGAATGTGTCCAGGCATATCATTTGCAACCGCAAGTATTGAACTTGCACTTTCTCATCTGCTCTACCACTTTGACTGGAAACTCCCCAATGCAAATGGCAGTAGCAATGAGACAAAGTTATTAGAAGAGCTTGATATGACTGAATGTAAGGGATTGAATGTTAGGAAGAAGAATAACTTGTATCTTATCGCCATTCCATTCATTTCGTCCTCAGAAATGAATTGAAATGCATGCGTTGTTGGAAATAGCTAGCAAACACAAACCATAATTAAGTCTTAACAAATGTTTGCGTTTTCATGTCGCATGGTGTTGTCCAGAAGAACAGTTAATGAAATTGGCTTCAATGATATTCATGTTACAAATTTCAGTTGATGAAGTTCTCAAAATTAAATATCAATGAGGTAATAGTGATTATATATTGACAAACATGTCGGTCAAATATCCACCGCGCGAGGAGGATCATTTAGGATCGTTGATGGTGGGCAAGGTGGCAGGGGGTGGATGATAGGAATTGTCGACGAATTTCCAAAGGTCATGGCCTTAGGGGAAGAGCTTGGTTTAAAGAAGCCTTCAGAAGATAGTTTGATTCAGAAAGCGTGATGAAGGGAGCTGTACTGAGGCTAGGGAGAGTGGCTGCAGTGCATCAATGGTAGAAGCATGAGCGGCCACGAGGAAGAGAGAAGGGATCGAAAATTGCTACGATTCCGGTGAGACCTAGACCAAGGCTGATACCATGTAAAAAATTATATTCTTCATTTATATTCACATATGCATATCAGTTACTTATTGTACAAGAAACTAAACTTTATCAGATACTTCCCGCTACCCTCAGTAGGAGGAAGGGGAGAATAAACTAGGAGGACACTGCTACTAGCAGCAAACAGGTCAGGCCGAGCAATTCCCAGCCCATATCTTCCTCGGCTGAGCAGCCTACCCCCTGGCGGCCTAGTAACCGACAAATTTTAGATAACTATTCAAAATTTCTTTTCTTTTGCACGAGGGGGTGTTTTGATTTAAACTAACTATTCTAAACTGTACAAAATGGAAATTCGAACTTGACTACAGAAGAATGAGCACATCCGTTATCCGTTATGCCCATATTGCGATAACCGATCAATTTAACAACTAATTATTTGTTTAAAAACAATTAAAGGAAAAAAAAAACACAAATAATTCACCTCTTTTATTTTCCTTTTCTTCCTTTTAGACTGACCATATTCACCTACTTTCGGTTGCACCAAAAGAGTATAGAACTAGTTTTCTCACGCCACCATATTCTGCTACGTAATACTTTCAATTTTGGCGGCCGCTCCTTTTCCACCACCACCTTCATACCCCACAAAGAATAATTGGAAGCTTTACAAGCTGAGAATTAGGGAATGAGGAAATCACATGAGCAGAAACTAGCTTCTTGAAATCATATTTGAATTTTTAACCCTCTTCTTTGTAAGGAAATTGCTATCCTAATGTAATTTCAATTTGGGTCCATTTTTTATTCAATCTAGTACCCATTTGATCATTGGACTCCATATTATAGTCTATGTCTAAAGTTTAGATTTTGAGACAAATAATATTAATGTGGACCATAATATACCTACTTGGTACGTTTTGAATATGATCTATGTTTGGAAAATTAATTGGGGCTTAATGGATGTGTTATTTTCAATAAGTTGGGTATTTGTTTGAAATGTTTAAGAAAGTTGAGACCAATTTGAATTGATACTAAAAGGTTGTGGGGTTTTAGATAGTTAATCCTAAAATTAGCTACAATTTGTTAGATTAAATTATTATAATATAACCTTATTGATTAGATTACTATTAAATTAGCACAAATGTTGCACATTCTTCGTCTGCTCCAGTTTTTTAAACTACATTTTCTGTTTATACTACTTAATCATATATGATTGCTTCTCTTTTGTAACGAAATTAACATATAAATCAAAATCGGAGGTCTTGAAACAACGTAAATCCGACCGTGAATCTACAAGAAATGTAAATAACACAAGATGTATCGTGGTTCACCCCAAGATTTGGGCTGCGTCCACACTGATTATGTATTTCTGAGGGAGAGAGAGCTTTGTAATGTGAGAGCTTTGAGATGGGGTGAGAGGGCCTAGGAATTGGCCTCTCCTAATTGTGAGGGTGAGGAGTCATTTTATAGAATAAGAGATTCTCACTTATTACATATTTGCCCATTCTTTTATTACATAATTACATTTAAGTTTCCCGAGTATTTGTATGAGATCTAAATACAGAGGCCCTAAATATAGTATAAACAACTTACGTAGTTAGCCGATGAATGTTGTAGAATTATTATATTGATGCACGGAAACAATGATTATTAATTTAATCATATGAATTTTTTGTAACGTTTTTTTTATGCCTCTTGACCAGGTAATGCAGCCTTTACAAATGACACACCCTGACACGGATATTCCATGACACAGAAGCTGAAGTGTGCTAGCTAGCCATCATCCGGATGGTTGATGAAGCCATGATTCACATGAAGTCATAACTAAACTTATCAACTATTAAATTTTACCGAAAATTCAACATAACTTCCTCTTCTAAGAACATTTTGATCATTTTACATAAACAAAGCGCAAAGTTACTTCACATAAAATATTTGGGACATGTCGTAACAAAAAATAATGCTAAAAGGTTTCGTTGAAATATTTGTTTTGTATGGAGAGGTCTCGTTGAAATATTTGCTTTGAGTCCATACATATTGCGTGGAATATAATATTTTGTATTCACACCTTGAAGGCTTGAATAAGAAGATTCTAAATTAATAAACTTGTAATCCATTAAAACTCCAACTCAGCAATAGCTCACTTATGCTTTACACTGTCCTCCTGTTTTAATTTGGGTTGAACAACTCCATATTAGCGGATTCGGATCCGGATCTAAATCGTGAGATCTTAGAAATCCTCACATCTTAACTGTTTATCATACATTATACAACCAGAAATTATTTTAAATCTTTTATATAAAATTAAACATAAATAATACTTAACGAGAACTAATCGCACAATATACAATAAACGGGTAAGATATAAAGATTCTTAAAATCCCCACGGAGAAAAACTAGAGATAACCCACATCATATTTGGCATTCATCTCTACGCAGTCCGTTGTTTTCTCTTGATTGTTTTATCTTGCTAGCTACAAATTGTGGACGTGGCAGCTAGCAAGCCTAGCATCTCATATTTATATAATATAACAAATATTCGATTTTCTATGAGGGAGGGAGGGAGATATCTAAAAGCATATATATACGTAGATGATCGAAACCATGTTCATGTTGGAAACTTGGAAGGAATACATTATACTTACAAGGACGGAGTTAGAAATGTTTTTGACTGGGGGCGTCCTAAAACAACCAAGTAAAATAATAGGTGTTAAGTTGTTGAGGATCAGATACAATGAAAAATCTCTAAATTAAAAAGTTAAATTTTAAATTGTAATGTCACAAACGAATGGATGAAGTAAATTCATATAAAATACTTTGCAGTAAAATTTTTATATCAAGTTATGATACTTCATCGGTTGAATCCAATCTATTTATGAAACCCCAGTTCAATTGAGTTTGATTTAGGTTAGAAAACATGGAATATTCGGAACCAAAATCAAAAATTTAATTGTTGTTTTAATTGTCATGACAATTTTTTTCATCACCCAAAAATCTGAGTAGGGGCGGATGCCCCCTCTGGGCCTTAGATAGCTCCGCCCTTGTATACTTTTATATATATATATATATATATATATGTATATATGTATATATGTATATATGTATATGTATAAGTTAGGCCAAGAAATAAGAGATTAGGAATTTAATTTGAAAACAAAGAGACCGCTCGATCGACAGAATCTACGAATTTGGTCGGGCACTTGTAAAAGTTTGTATGCATATATATTTGATAAGTAAAATGACACATGGTACTGTGCCATGCATGCATGATACAAAAATAGAATTATTCGCAGCTAGCTAGCTGATTGCTGAGAAGTGACAGTCACACGTAGAAATGACGAGGATCCTCGCATTTTTATAGGGACAAAAAAATGTGTTTCAACTTTCAACTTTCACAGCTGTTCGTTTTATACAGAACGTGCATGCTCTTTTATATTTCTGTTTTCTGTGTTCTATTATATATATCTGATATATGCCTCCACTCAGTGAAACTCTCAAACCTAATCCATTTTTGTATCCTCTCTCAAAATTCTTTTGTATATATCTACTTAATACTACTGTGTTATATATATATATATATGTGTGTGTGTGTGTGTATGTATACGTATATATAGTTGGGATCAATACTGTTTGTATATATCATGATTTGGACATCACTTAGCTTCCATGAATATACATGCGTGTGTGTGTGTGTAAGATGGGAGGGCAAACCATATTATTGTCCTACAGATCAGAGTTTCTTAATTGACCCTTATTTATGATCTGTACGCACAAAGCCCTCAAGATTGTAGTTAAAACGTAATAACCCACATTACATTAAGAGAGATTTTGAACCAAAAACTCGTGGATTACGCCCGAAAACTCCTTCCAATGAGTTGAGTTGGATCAGTCAACTACACAAATCCAGTTTTCTTATATAAATAAGATGTCTGAATCCTGATGTTGAATGTATGTCTGTCTGTATATCCTATTTATGAAACATCTAAAAACCTACAACGCTATATATGTAATGTCCGTAAAAATAAATTGTCTTAGGCCATATTTGGAGAGCAACTTACATGTTATTGAATAATAGACAATTATTTGGAAAAAAAAAACTTATACTTAGCAATATATTATTAGATAAGAGACGCCACATATAAATTGGTTAATTAAGTCTTTCTACATTATCTGATCCATTTTAAAAAATAACAATTTTACCAAACAAACATCTCCAAACATTCAACTGTCTGATTTCAGTTGATTAATTACTTTATTAGCTGCATGGGTGGGACCCTAATGTCCATAAGTTTATTTTATATTTATACAATAAACTCTGTCATTTCTTATCTTAATCTTCGTTCTTATCTTAGACATAATATTGAGTAAATGGGTATCATAAATATAAATGATTCAATGAATACGAGTAAGACGAGCATTATGTTATTTAAGGGAAGCAAAGCAACTAAGAATGATACATGCAATAAACCCCGACAATCATGTGACCCGAACGACTCTCACACTAGATGTTTCTCTCTCTAGTGGGTCTGAGTCTTTCCTTCCCTCGGTTTCTCTCTCTAGAAAATCAGGTCATACTGTAAGAGCGGGTATTTTTGCAATCTTATATATTTCAGTTGCTGTTGGTCGTTGCGATTATTTCTCACATTGAAAGCCTCTCCTTCTCTCTCCTTCATGTCCTTCTCTCTCTAAAATTGGCTCTGTACCCATTTCCTCCCTTCTGATAACATTCACAAAGATGCTTGCTTTATGCAGAGCCATGAGCTGAGCTGCCTGCTCTGCCCTTCTCTCTCTGTTGCTCTGCTCTAATTTTGGGCATTTTCTTCTTTTGGTTTCGTACAATTCAAGTTTGATCAGAGAAAGGAAGGGGAACCCATTGGGGTCGTGCAATTGGTGAGCTTTCTCGTCGGATTTGGGGACAATGATTCATGGTGAAAAAGTGGGTATTCCGAAATACATCTTCTTACGTAGATCTGCTTTCCTGATCTGAAAGGGAGAGAGAGAGGGGTTATTGAAAGAGAATAGTGTTTTCATTTCCTGAAAAAGTAAAAAAGTTTCAAGTGATTGCTGGCGAAATTTGGCAATTTGATTGCAGATTGTGGATTAATCTGATCAAAAGTGAGTGAATTTAGTGATTTGATTTGGATGGTTAATCAAAGGCCGTGAAATTGAAGGGCGTTTGCGACGACGGATCCGTCAATAACAAAGAGTGGGGGGTTGTATTGCTCATCAGCTGTTCTGGAGTGCCTACTAAGCATTATCAGGGCCCTGAGAATGGGTTCCTGCTTGTCTGCAGAAAGCAGGAGCCCTCTGCCCGATTCGCCGTCGTCTCCCTCCTGGGGAGTCCGGCGGCGGAAGAGCTCGAAGAAGAGAATGGGCTCGAGAAATTCTTCCTTTGATTACCGCCGGGAAGAACGGCTGCACAGGATTCCCGAGAGAATGTTCTTCAATGGGTCCAGTGAAGTTGCATCTTTGTTTACACAGCAGGGCAAGAAAGGAACCAATCAAGATGCCATGATTGTGTGGGAGGTAAGCTCTTTTACTTCACTCGGTTGTTTTCATTTTCTATATATTTTTGTGCAGCTTAATTAATATATTAATTGATTGATCATTTTGTATCTGGATGTTAAATTTACCTGTGCAACATTTGATTTCTGATGTCAATCTTCAGCCTTTGTGCTTCCTGTAATTGTTCTTAAAGAAAAAATGCATTCCTTTTATCCGTTTGTATTAGTTGGCTGCAGTTTGTCCAACCTATTTTTCCGAAAGATATTATTATCCAAACTAGCAAGCCTTAGTTCTGTGGTGGCAGTTGAATTCTTTGTTTGATCGTTTTCCTTAGCTATGGCAAGTCCCTGTTTGCAGAGCAATTGGCTCACCATCATTGTCAATGTGTTCATTTGGCATATATTAACCTGCACTTCAGATAGTTTGATCTTTTTTTTTTATCCGTGTTTTTATATTTTGTATTCATTCTCTGAATGTTACGTTTTGAGATTTTGCTGTGATATATGTATCTTAAAAGGAAACATATCCAGCGGTGAACAATGTTATTATTGTCTAAAATTTTTTAAATATGGATTTCAGAATTTCGGTTCGAGAACAGACACAGTTTTCTGTGGTGTTTTCGATGGGCACGGTCCATTTGGTCATATGGTTGCTAAAAGAGTGAGGGACTCTCTTCCTCTGAAATTGAGTGCAAACTGGGAAGTGAACATAGTCAATGATGAAGTTCTCAAAGAGATTAGCCTCAACGCTGCAGGAAGCTTGAATTCAGATGATACTGCTTTTGTATCTGTTGATGAAGATTTCAGGCCCTCCGTGGATGTTGATGAAACAGAAAAAAACCCTGAGATCTTTCAGACACTGAGAGAGTCCTTTCTGAAGGCTTTTAAAGTTATGGACAGGGAGCTGCGAACAACACCAAGTATTGATTGCTTTTGTAGTGGGACAACAGCAGTAACTTTGATTAAACAGGTGCTTTCATATCCTTTGCCAACTTGTTCTGAGTTATTGTTTTCTTTTTGGTGATGTGTTCATCTTGATCATGCATGTATTGGTGTGTTTCTTAGGGTCGGGATTTAATCATTGGAAATGTTGGAGACTCCCGAGCCGTTCTATGCACGAGAAGAATAGATGACACTCTAAGTGCAATTCAGTTGACTGTGGATCTCAAACCAAATCTTCCAGGTATCACTCTTTCTTCCACCTGGCTCCTCCTCTCTCTTAATAGTTTTCAGTTTACTAGTTTTTCAAATTGGGTTTATGATTTTGGCAAGACCTGATCTGGTCACATTTCCAATGATGCTCGATACATGAAAAAAATTCCAGTTGGGGGTCTGTTTGAAGTTCCAAAAACACTTTGTTCTGTTGTTAAGATGTTCAGATATGAAATATATTTTTCATAGACTTGACCCTGTTTATTTTGGCGTAGGATTTATATTAGAATTATGACTATATTCACATTGTTTTTGTCATGCCTCAGTAGTTTCTGAATCTGTATTGTGAAACTTGGGGCCAGAAATAATAGAAATAACTTCTCATAAACTATAGAGAGTGAATTTTCCTGGTACATTGGATAATGGCTTTCATCATCTACATGCAATAGTATACAGGGAAGGCATACTATGGTCAACTGTGATCTGCTTACTAGCTTCTTGTGATTAAGTTGTTTCTTCTTACCTGCTTTTTCCCTAATCTTCCTCACTAACAGCGGAAGCAGAAAGAATTCGTAAGTGTAGAGGGCGTGTTTTTGCTCTTCAGGATGAACCTGAGGTTGCTCGGGTCTGGCTGCCAAACACTGACTCTCCTGGACTTGCCATGGCACGCGCTTTTGGAGATTTCTGCCTCAAGGATTTCGGCCTGATCTCTGTACCAGATGTATCCTATCGGCGTCTCACAGAGAGGGATGAATTTATAGTCCTGGCTACAGATGGGGTACGTAGCCAGCTAATTTAAGCTATTTACAAAAGATATATATAACATTTCCTTTCCTTTTCCCCCTCGTATTCCTCGTGCTCTTGGAATCTAAGATTAAAACTTTCTTGGCAGATTTGGGATGTCCTCTCTAACAAAGAAGTGGTAGACATTGTAGCAACAGCCCCAGCACGTTCTTCTGCAGCTCGAGCACTGGTAGAGACAGCAGTTCGAGCGTGGAGACAGAAGTACCCAACTTCCAAAGTAGATGACTGTGCTGTAGTTTGTCTCTTCCTTGACTTAGACTCAAACACAGTATCAACTGCTGCTAATAACGGGTCGAAGGAGAAGGAGCAGCCTACTACAGTGAATGAGGTAAATGCCGAAGAAGATCTCTCGGAGACAGCTTCTTTGGTCCACTCGGGGACTGTCCGAACTGCTGAAGAGATCCTTGCAGACGAGGAAGAAGACGAAGAAGAAGGAGGAAGCAAGGAGAATGCTGCAGATGATATGAATTCGGAACCAGGTGTAGAGTGGTCAGCTCTGGAAGGAGTTTCTCGAGTGAACACATTATTGAATCTGCCTAGGTTTACACCCACAAAAGAAGACAAGAAGGTGTGGAAGAAGGTTTGAATTCCCCTGCTTGCCTCTCGAATCCTATCATAATTTTGTTTTGTATTATTTATTAAATTTTCTCGTCTTCATCTTCTTTTGCCTTCTTGTCTATGTTATTCTACAACACATAAGTGATCTATAGGGTCAATGAAAGTTAAAATTTTGACCGGAGAGGTCGTGTGGGGGTGCTCCCGACTATATTAGCAATGTCTGGGAAAATTTGAATTTTTTTGTAAAAATCCAACTCTCCGACTATTTTTTGGATTTTGTTTTTCTGCGTACAAGAAATTCATGTATTTCGACGTGTGGATAATAGTTTTGTGATGATGAATGAATGAAGGCTCATCTTAGTTTTCAGCTTGAATTGTCTTTTGTTTCTATTTTCAGCAGTGCCTGTCGTGTTCAGATGTACACACTTGCAATTGTAATGTTGCTCCAATTGTAATTTTGCAAATTATGAGTTGTGTGTTGTTGTTGTTGTTAGTTAGTTAGTTAGTTGGCTGAGTTTTGAATTTGCATTTAATTTGGCAATTGATTGGTGGAGAGATCTTATACCGTGGGGTTGTCAGCCGTTAGGTACTTGGGCAAGGATTCGATGATCAAACATCTGGTGGCCAAAAATCTCAGCTACTCCCTTTTGGTAGTTGGCATCATCCAATCCAAGCCAAGCCAAGTTGCCCAAAAGTTAACTTGGTGGCCTGCCCTGTTATTCATTCCTTCCTTTTACTTTTTGACTTTAGGAACCAAAGCTTCCTTCCACCATGTCTTAATTTGCCCCAATCAGAACCTGACTAGTATCATTCATTCATCAGGACCATAAGCACTGAAATTCAATGCAACTCTTCTGAAATTTCCAGAAAATTTCTATTTATTAGGTGAGGGTTGATTTGAGTTTGTTTATGAAACGATGACGACGTCGGTACAGATATTATTGTTAGGTAGAGTTGTTTTCATTGGTTTAATGCTCCAAGGAACTTAATTTGATTTGATAACAAGGTTAGATGTGGTCATGGTTTTAATTATGTTTGTGTCACCCATAATTTTTTAAAAAGAAGAGAAAATTATTGAAATTCTTGGTAATCACTTGATAATCAATGATTTCTTATTTTGTAAAAAAGGCGATCCGAAGCCAACAAGGCATCCCGTTTTGCAAGAATCGAAGAGGGGAATGTCTATTGTAAGCAACCTTACTCTTTCTTTGGAAATTAAGAGGTTGTTTCCACCACTCGAAAAAAGTTGCTCTTTCGTTGCGCCAAGGCTCGCCCTTCAATAATTTCTTTGATATTGTAAGACTAAAGTTAAACTCAATGGACTAATGAACTGGCCTTTCAATGAATGGATACATAGAGAAATGAAGGGGAGATGTGTTGAAAAGTGAAAATAAAAAGGGAATGGCAGTCGCTTGAGCTTGGTCAATTTCGTCGTATTATTGTCAATCAAATGCGTTTTTCGTCCAAAAAGCGTTGGAAGAAGTCAAGTGCCTCCCGAGGCTTGTATTCCGGGACAGTGTGTCCAGCTCCCTGCATATATTTACAGATTTTTCTTTAATTTATGAGAAAATAAAGAAACATCTATATACTGCAATAATAATTCATAGCATAGTAGAGAGAGTGCATGCAGACCTTGACGGTGAGAAAGGTGAGGTCGTTTGCATATCCTTGTAAGTAGCCAGCAACTTGGTCGTCAGAGGAGAGCCAAGGTCTCCATTCATCTACAATCTTATATCCAAGTGATGCAGTCCATGCCTCACTCCCAGTGTACGGAACACACATATCATGGTCTCCACTGCATATTTATGTTTTTTAATTAATTAGCCAGATTTGATTAATCCATATCTTTCAGTTTCACTTTACATTTAGAATTTGATTAATAAATATTAATTACCTGAAAATAAGTGCTCTATAACCTTGGGTTGTAAGGTTTTGGTGGTAAGGGATCATACTTCCAGCATCGCGTGAATATGTTATTCTATCTGTGCATAACTCCCATGGACCAGCCACACTTTCCTGCTACACTTCATTCATTCATTCATTCTTTTTTTCTTAGGAAAACTAATGAAAAGGGCTTGAAAACTTTGAGTTTTAATGATAAGGACAAAATAAAGGGTAAAGTGAATAGTATCAGGATTGACTTTTTAGTGTAAAAATATGGTTTTTTGTTAAAGTGAATAGTACCAGGTGCTTTTCGTTAAAGTTCCCTTTTTTCTTTTACTTAGATCATTAACTTCTGCAGAAAAAAAAGAAAAAGAAATATCAAGCAAAGCGTACTGGTTTTGCATGTATTGCTTCCCTAACTTCTGGAGTGTTCAGCCATAGCGTTGCGACTTCATCATTCTGCAGAAAAAATTATTAATTAATATCCAAATTAATTATTAAAAGATTAACCTAAACTAATTAAATTAACAGTAACTTACAACACAAGGAACTCGGGAATTCAGCGTCTTTGCGAGCTGAGGCCACGATGGGACAATGCCGTCTTCTACGTTTGCTAGAAAGGGCCAGGCTCGGCCAAACATCCTTTTCCTCACTCCCAGAGGCTTCTCTGTCGTCGTCCCCAACTGTTGAAAGCTTAACGGTAAGCTGCTTGTATTATTTCCTTTGGAATTCTTGCTATTATCTGTTCCAGGGCCATGGTAACAAGGCTCAAGGGTGTCGTAGATGTTTAGTCCGTCAAGAGCCTAATTAATCAAATAGTTGTGTTTAGATTATAATTAATAATGTGACAAGTTTGAATCTAGTTAAGCTGAATAAAAGAGCTAAAAATTGCACCTTGTTAAATGGTTGAAACTTTTCGTTGCATAGACTACGATTGGAAGGAGGAATATTAAGGAGGTCAGTACCACAAGTAGCTATAATTTCCTGCAACATACAGGCATCTCAGATATTTGCCTCACACATACTTTTAGCAGTGGAAATTCAGCAAGGAAAACCGAAAACGAAACATAATGTGTGAGTAAATTACGTGATCAGTACTCTAGCCAGCTAGCTACCTGAAAGATTTGTTCTGAAATGATACCCATCCCATGAGCAAATGGGACTAAAGCATTGGCATCAAATTTTCGGTCTGCGACTCCATTCCCCACCAGGTAACCCTGATTACACACATTACACTTACGTTTTACTACAATTAATAACGTGGTGAAACAAATCAGTTTATATAACTTGACTTGATAGAATACGCACCTTCAGATTTAAAGTTGGTTTTGTTCCATTTTTAATACCTATACATATATGTAGAAAATGCAGCACATTGGTACAGACCAGAAGTTAAATCCAATAGATACATATATATATATGCAATTAGTGTAATGTTGTAATTATGTAAACACCAATTAACTAATTAGATACCTTTTGCAATTTGAGAAGCAAGAGTTGGCACATACACTCCAGCATAAGACTCTCCCGAAATGTACAACGGGTTTGGTTGAAACTCTGGGAATTGCTGAAACCACTGTGGTTACATAAACAACACAGATTTCTTATCAACAAAATACAAGAAGAAAACGAAGCAAAAAAGAAAAGATATAGCAGCAAAGATACACAACATTTTTTTTTTTATAAATCAATTACTTAGACATTAATCTCCTTTATAATCAATAAGCGTATGATATGTAAAATGATCAGAGTCATTAGAAGTAGATTAATTAATTAGGAAAATAAATTAGTTACCTTGAGGAGAAAGGCATGGGTATCATGAGCAGTTTGGATGTCCCCAGTTATATATTTGGTTTGGTTTTGAGAGTAAGAGAACCCAACACCAGCAGGAGAATCCAAATAAATTATGTTGGAAACCTGATAATTATTCAATTAATTGGTTACTTATGGCCAAGAGAAAGAAATTGATGATAAAATAGTAAGGGGAAACAAATGGTAAGCTTTCCACATGAATAATGTTTAATTTGACTTGCCTTGGACCAACTATATGGATTAAGATGCAAAACAGGCAATGCTCCTTTTGGTTTTCCTTCTGCAAAATTAAATGGTCCTACATATACATATAATATTAAGCAGAAATTAGGTTTGCATTCCTCATTTTTTTTATTTCATTGATTAAAACCTTACTCATTTTTTTTTATCAATGCTCTTTAACTTTTATCTAGGTCATTATTTCAATAATAAAAAATATTTATATTAAGTACTGCGGTCTAGTGGTATTCTTCTTCACTTATAAGTAAGAGGTCTTAGGTTCAATTCTTCCTGAATGCGAATTTGAATCACACTATTGCTAACTTATTGTGAGGCTAATCCCACCCCTCTTCCCTTAGTGTAAATAATATTGTTTGTTTGTTCAAAACAAAACAAAAAAAATATTTACATATAAGCATATATAAATTTTAAATTAAAAATGATTTAACTATTTCCACATAGATCCATTTAGTGATAGAAATTACATTTGATATCTCATATTTATGACTAAAGTTTGTATTATATATTCCTATTTTTAATGTACCTATTATTTAATTTGCAACCATTTTTTTTAATACGTATCAATTTTCTTTTTAGTTTTAGTTTATACCCAAATATATTTTTTTTGGTCCCATATTTTTAAACTTTCATTTGTACCCATATTTTAAAAAAAAAAAATGTACCCATGATTTGTTTATAGTGTACTCATTTTTCATAAAAATGTACCACTATATATATATATATGTGTGTGTGTGTGTGTAACATCCTACATCGTCCAAAGGAGTGGATCCTCTAAGCCTTATATGCATATTCTCATCTCTACCTAACATCCCACATTGCACAGGGGAGTGGATCCTCTAAGCCTTATATGTATATTCTCATCTCTACCTAGCACGAGGCCTTTTGAGAGCTCTGGAACTCCGAAGTTAAGTGAGTTCGCGCGAGAGCAATCCCATGACGGATGACCTACTGGGAAGTTATTCACTTTTATTTATTCATATTGTACACATAATTTAAATTAAAATGTACCCCTTTTTATTTAAAAACATCAACATTTAAAATAAAAATAAAACATTTTAATTTGAAGAAGAAAAAAATCTGATCAGATTTCACAAAATATTCAAATTTGAGTAAAAAAGTTAAAATAGTATCTGCATGATTTAAGAATGATTTAATAATTTTTATTATTAAATTTCTTCATTAATACAAAAATTTATTATTTTGTTTGTCAATCAAAGTATTCAAGTTCATATAGGTTTCACTCTAAGATTTTAATATTAATTAAGTAAATTAACCTGAAAATCTGATCTTATATTCAAAGTTAATGATGTCACATCAATTTTTTGCCAAGAAATAATAAGATTTTGTCATATTTTACAGATTCCAGGTGATAGAACTTGAACATGTAGGGTAGTTATTAGTTTTACCATGTTCATAGACAAATCCGTCGAAGCTAGAGCAGCCAGGTCCACCATTGAGCCACAGAACAACGGGATCACTTTCTGGGCTCCTTTCTGAAACTACGAAGTAGTAGAAAAGATTCTTTCCATCTGTGGTTATATATCTACAAATTAATTCAACAAATTCCCATCAAATTATAAAAGCAGTAGTCCTTCTAACATATACAGATATATACGCATTATATATATATATATATATTTGTGGAATTAAATAACTGAATTACCCAGAGTAGTGCTTGGATGGAAAGGTAGCATTAAAACCAGGAAGATGAGTGACAAGAGAGCTTCGAGGGCCAGCCTCAATTAAGTTCACGACCAAACTCACAAAAAGCATGCAGCAGAGTGAGAGTACTGAGAATTTGGCCATGGCCGCAATGCCTCCTTGTAACTAATCAAGAGTTTCACAAGGACCTGCAGTTTCGTAGCAATAAACTTATAGTTGAAAACAAAAGGTTAAGGGGAAATTTCAGGATTCTCTAAATCCAACTTTAATTAATTTATTCTTATCCATTCAATTCACATATTTATAAGATTATAAAAGAGTAATACTAGGAAATAAACCAAAACAATCTTTCATCAAAGAAAATCTCATCGGATTATCGGACTACAAGGGAGCAATACTATTAATACCAAATATGGACTTTTAATTTTTTTACTTTAATTTTCAATTGTGGGAAATCTCATCAGATTTTCTTCTTTTTCTAAATATTTAAATATGGGTACATTACTACATTTCACATTTAAAAATGCGAATAATTAATTGCGTTATTAGAGACCTACATAGTCAGACTTTTGAGGTATGCATATTCCGATCCGCCTTACTTAACTCTGAAAAATCATGGTTCCACAACACCCAAGTTTTATTTTCCTTCCCTTAAGTTTAAATTCAACGTTTGGCCACTTTTCAATTCAAGAATTAGGAAAGTCATTTATTGCAACGAGTTGCGACAATGAACAGCTAGGTAATAGTTCCTTGGTGCTTCAAGCTTTAGGTTCCCCAACCATTTTAGATGTTGTATGGCCCATGCACTATGGCTGAACCAGAACAAGCAATTGCTAAGTAAAGGCACCCACATTGTGCTTTACTTCCACCCGTTGTAGGAGCTGAAATGACTAATGGGTGCGGTTGAGATTTAACTAAATCTTATTTAGTCAAATCTCAACCGTTCACTTATGAGAAAAAATGCGTTAAAGAGAATTTCTGCCCATTTTAGATGCTACATGTGGCTGAGCAACAGCTAGCAATTGCTAAAGATCAGCAAACAGAGGATCAACCAAAATTTTATTATCGCAATCGAAACACGGTTCACTACATTTAATACAAAGCATGGTATCATTCAAACTTCCATGTCTTCCGACTACAAGGTAATATAATTTCTCTTAGAGGGAGCTGGGATTCCTATTAACTAAGAGCTTCAGTCGACAAAGTGCTGGAGTAAAGCTTGTAAGCCATGATATGATTCAAACATTTGGTCTCCAAATTATTCAAGTAGGCTTCTCATATGAATTCTGGTCTCTAAATTCTGCAATGGCGCTTCTTATCATCTCGGCAGCATGGGGCTGCACAAAAAGGTGAGTGCTATCCAAGACATGTATTATGAACCTCTGTGAAGCTGGCAGTGAATTGTCGTAATTGATGATGAATTGCGCCATAGGTATGTCACTGCACAGGAGAAGCACAAATGCTTTCAGAAACAGGGAAGAGAGCATGACATGGTCAAAAACGCAACTAAAACTATTCTTTTAGGATGAACCAAACAGCAGGATTAACAGGTAGTAAAAGCCTAAAGATACAAACTCCACAGAAATCACTTCACTGGATAAATCAAAATCTACTTGTGGATTGCGCTTTGTATCATCATAGAATGTACACAAGTCAGGAGCTTTAAATCCAAGTGCACACTTTCAAATCAAAAACACTATTGTGACTCAGTGATGACCGGACACTCTGTTGTAGCTACCAATAGAAAACAAGTCAAACCTAAGACCCAAAAGAGAAAGAGAACTGCCAACCCAATGACAAGATAATTTTTAAGCAAGGCAAGATTTTAACCTTGTCATTATATGCATCGAAGTAGATTTCTAAATATATGAAGGAGAGGAGGAACCACAACCTATTAACCACGCTAAATTCTGCAAAGTTAATAAAAGCGCAATACAAAATCGGTACAAGTATCTTACCAAGAGATGAACAGTCCTTTAACAGCGTTCACCATCTTGCACCAGAAACCTCAAGATTCTTAACTGCAACACAAACAAAAGCCAAGATATGAGAAAATACTTGGATTATACTAACTCTTAACATGGTATAATTACCATAAATACATAATTAAAAGATTAAATCCACAATACATTGCCTGAATTATTATTTTACGATAGAATATCAAATCTAAAATATAAATTTGTTTGTAAACACATCATACCGAAAAGGCGTAAATATGCAATTAAACCACATCAGTTTATGAGCCAAAGTAGCAAACCCAATTCCACAAAAAGGAAAAAAAGATTCAAAGATCATTCGCGGAACCCCAAAGTCCCCAAACACATCGAAGCTAAAAAATGGATTGATAAACAAGATCGGCAAGCATTCAGCAGGAAACAAGCTCGAATTTTGAAGGTGAAGATTGGCATACCTTTTGTTGCAGAGGTGATCGGAGATTTTGCCCGTCTCCGTATGTACTAACAGTGCACCATAATATATCACAACACAATTCAACATATCCAATTCCAATTCAATTCAAATAATCCAACTCAATTCAACATTCGAATTCAATTCACTATCCAAATTCACCAAATTCAATTCAATTCACAATCCAAGTCAAAATTCACCAAATTCAATTCCAAAGCAACACAATTCAATTTATTAGAAAACTAACCTGCATCAAACGGAGGCCCCTGATTATTTCAATTCAATTCCTATTTGCCTTGTTGTAAGTGGAGGCACCTGATTAATTCAATCCAAACCTGCATCAAAATCCCAAATCAAAGAATGAGATAATATCCCAGATTGTGTAAAAATTAAACAAAAAATGGAATGCAAATGGACATTTTCCTACAGTTTCACAGTCTGAGATGGGGGGTGTTTAGATTCGATGTGCGCACGATAGCAGCTCCAGAGTCTGAGACGTGCTAACAGAGGCGCACGGTGCGGAAGTCCGCGCGGCTGGGTGGGTCTGTGGCTGGGTTTGGGATGAAAAGACCAAAGAGCCTTTGAAACGCTTGCAAAATTAATACCCCTTTCAACCTAGTTGACAAAGTCCGTTTCTAAGGAACATGAATCGCCATTACATGAAATAAATTTTAGAAAAATCAAAATGTGGGAATAAAGTGAAATTTTGTACATGGTACAGTAAGCATAACTGAAAAAATAAAGCCAATGAAACTAAGGGCATTTATCACCAAAATATGAGGCTAAAGGAAGACCAAAGGCAACAAGTTGAAGAACGAGAAAAACTAACATGAAAATTTAAGTATAAAAGCTAAACATGAGATAAAGTTTAGGAACTCTTGCTACCACGCACAGTATATACATATGTATACATATATACAGGCCCTTTAAGGGAAGGGATCTTCATTTTTCAAAAAATATGGGGACACTCTCTTGACTATTAGATCTGACTTTAATAAAATTCTGTGATTGAGATTAAATCACAGGCTACAGAATCTCAATCATAAAATTTCATTAAAACCAAATATAACGGTTAAGAAAATACCCCTATTTTTTTTTTTTTGAAAAATGAAGATCCTTCCCTTAAAGGCTTTCTACATGCATAAGAAAATGCATATCTTTGTAATTTCAAAACGTATGTATGTATGTGTATATATTATATTACCCTACTACACCGTGGCAGTTGGCGCCCATTAAGTCAATAATAGAGTCAAAGCTAGCTGACATGGCAAGATCTGAGTGACTATGCAGTGCTACAGCCAACACAAGAATGAGGATCTCCAGAGGATCCAGAAGATCATTTAATCGTATTCGTTTATTGTAAATCGTGTAATCAGTTTTCGTCAGGTACTATTTGTGTTCAGTTTTAAATAAAAAATTTAAAATAATTTCTGACCACATAATAATGTACGATGAATGGATCGGGGGAGGATCCTTATTCAACCAAACACAAAGAAGAAGACCCAAAAATTCTATCCAAAATAATTAAAAAGAGAGGCTCTAATTCCATCCTCATCTCTCTCTCTCTCAATGCATGCATGTGCTTACACACTCTCTCTCCCTCTCTAGCAGGAGCAACCAATATGGATATGGGGGGAAGGACTAGTACTAGTACTGGCAGGGAGCAGAGAACCCAGAGATGAGTGCCTCCGTTTCCATCACTGCCCTCATTGCCTCTAACTCGGCACCTGCCGCCGCCACCAACATCAATCTCCACCGCAACACTACTAGTTCCTCCACTACCACGACTACTAATGCAGCTAAATCAATAATTTTCACCTCCACCGCCAATTCCAAGCCCAATTTTACCGCCTCCTCTTCCTCCTCCTCCCAATACCACCACCCTTTCATACTGCGAGGTACCTACTTAATTACCCTTTCATTTGCAATTCCCTCTCTATTCTAATCTCATGTTCTTCTATACAATATATGCCACCACTTAGTACATTTGGTTTCAAATATACATAATAAATAAAAACAGTCTTGTGATTTACGACTCAAAATTAGAGTGATGAAATAGAAATCTGGAAGTAGGGATCTATCGGACAGAAGCAAAGAAGAAGCAGCGTTTGAAGAGTCATGGCTTCAGGGCGTTCGATCTGAGATGGCAGGCGATCAATCGGAGAAGGGCAGAGAAATCCTCACGCATTTCCTTATTCGTGTTTGTGTTATTTTGATAATTTACCTATTTGATTAAGATATGAATTTGATTTCCTTGACTATTAAGTCTTGGATTGACTTCCTATTAGTATTTTCACCGTATAGGTGCTATACTCTATATATAGGGCCTTAGAGTTGGTTTACTTTGTGAGGCTTATTTGTAAGAGTCAGTTTGTGAGTTTTAGAGTTCAGAGAACAATTTGAGAGAATGATCTCATTTGTTTGTTTGGGTTCTCTACTCGTTTGTTTTAGGGTTTGAAATTTGTAGGATTTGGGATGTGAGAGTTAAACACTCGCCGTTTATTTAGTGAGAGGTAAACACCCTAGGCTTTACGTCGAACCACGTTAATCTCTTGTGCTTTTCTTTTAAGATTGTTTCTTTGCTTTCTTCTACGATGTTGATATTTGGTACTTTGTTGGAATTTGCTTCCGTTTGCGTATAAAAGTGAAACAAACATCTAGCTAGAAACAAGATTAACGTCTAATTAATCAGCAGGAATGGGAACTTTTCTGTTACTCCAAATTTCTGATTAGAGGTAGAGGTAGAGTGTCATGGTTCACATCACTTGTAAAGTTCAATTGATTGAATTCATCAACTCATTCAACAAATTGTACTTTTTCCTTAGTAACATATCCTGTGAAACATAGTTTAACTAGCGTAGTAAAAGTTTGAGTAAATTAGCTTGTAACTGATCATGTGGCGGGGTGCATGCAGTAACAAATGATCCGGCTAGCAGTAGTAGTACTACTGAATCAGAATTGTCGGCGACGGATGAAAGAACAGTGGCTGATAGAATTGTTGATGGATTGAACTTTGGGGAGCTATGCAATGAGTTTGAGTGCATTAGTAGCCCCTTGGTGGAGTCTACAGCTCGACAACTTGTACGCGATATCCTTGAGCTACGAGAAGGCAATCGTGCCCTTGGAACCTTTGCTGTTTCTGTTAAATACAAGGTATATAACTAATACTTAACATGTTGTTGTGGTATATGTGCTTATATATACTCAGTTAGTAGATCTAATGCTTTTATATGCTCTCAAGCTGACCAGTTAAGATTGGTTAATTATGTTATTGCAGGATCCAGTTAGAAGTTTTAGCGGCCGTGATAAGTACAAGAGACCGCTATGGATAACCAGTGCACTAGAAAAGCCCTCTGTCGTGAGTCTTCTGAATTCATCTTTACTTTTTATTTATTTTTGTAATTCCTTGTATAGCAAGCAACAGAAATGCAACATCAAAACTTCTTTCGTTGTTATTGTTACATACGAACAGAGTGTGCAAGAAATGAGCATGTTATCAACGAGTGTCCTGAGTATCAAGTGGACAATCAAAGGCAAGGCGAAGAACATTATAGGAGGAGATTTGATCGTAGGAATAAATTCCCAATTCACTCTAAACCAGATAAGTGGACAAGTCATTGAACATGAAGAGTTTTGGGATTTATCAGCTTCCTCAGCCATTGCGAAAGCGTATTTCTGGACATCACGCCGTCTTTATGCAACAATCGAGGGTGGAAAAGACTTGGCTGATCTTGCTAAAACCATTTCCAGCAAGTTCCCCAGAGAAAAACAGAACACAGAAATTTATCCAGACCCTTCAGGCGATCCAACTAAGGTCAGTGATTAAACAAACGAAGCACAAATACTTTATTCGTTCATACGCTAAAATTCCTTCCTTTTTTCTATCTTCCATCGATTGACGCATCGTTTGCATGCTAATTTGATTCAGTTCTTTCAAAGGGATGACGGTTTCCAAAGAGATGTATACCAAATTGGACTGTTTCTGGCACTGGTTTATTTTGTTGTACAGCTTTTGAGGACAACCTTGTAAAGTAAAGCCTCCCTCAGGAGAGATTCTCTCATGCAATCAAGTTTTAGTCTCAGTAGCGTCACCGTCCATACCCTTTCCTCTTTACACTTGCAATGCAGGCAGAATATATACAATACATTTGAAATATTTGAGACTCTTTAACTATAATAAAAATATGAGTTTTAATACAACAACGTTACAACCAACAATCCGCAGCAAGAGTGAGAAGCATTGTAGCATACAACAATACCAGTCCTTTTTTTTTTATTTTTTTATTTTTTTATTTTTTTTTATACCTCATCTCAATCATCTAACTCTCCGATTCTGCAAAAGGTGTGCGGATTTCATTTCCCTTCCTGATCTGTTAGTATCAACACTTTATGCTATAGAATCCTATTCCCGGATAGTATGCCGATTGCTGCTCATCCCAATCGTATGTTCTAATCAAAGGCATGCACTGAATCCTTCAGAGATATCAACCCAACATTATGAGTTGTTAATGAATTTCCGAGGACAATGAGGCTCAAATGTAAATCGCAAACAAGCTTATCCCAGAAAAATAGATAAAAATAAAGAGGTCGAACCAGAAAGGGTGGACAAAAATTATCACCACCTGGAAGGACAGATCAAGGGCAAGGAATGAGTGGGCTGCTGTGACACTTCTGGTTGAATTAAATCAATATTTGCAGCATGGAAATCACTAACAAGAAGAATGCCAATAACCTTCCAATCATCGGACCCGAAGCTGAAGAAAGATTGTGGGCACCGACCGAGTACACCTGCCCTGACTTCTCATCTTTCAATTTGATGCTTGAAGTGCCTAAATCAAAACAAACCGAAAAAGACATAAGATAATGGAACATAAGATTAAACACTAACAAATCAAACAATGAATGGGATGCTACTCACAGTTGTAGTCAGTCCACCCAATAGCTTGGTTTTCGATATCATACAGGACTAGCTTATTCGAAAGTACTAAATCTGCAAATTGGAACAATGATAATATTCGATGAATAGGATCCAATTCATGTGAAAAATAAACCAACTAATAAATATATGTCTTTGACTTGTGATTCAAGGCTCTACCTCCCAGAATAGTCATGGACTTTCCGTCTTTAGATTTCATGGAGTTGGTTTGCCAACCAGAACACCAGACATCATCCTGTGTATATGTCATGACAAATGTAAATTAGTTAAGAACTCACGGAAGAAGGTCAAGGTAATTAATTTTGTTCGAGAATCTAAAACGCTTGCCTTTAACTGGAACAGATAATCATGAGGATATGCAGTCAACACAGCAGAATTCTTGAAATTAAACTTCACAACTGGAAATCCATCATCAACACTGCAAGAAAAACGCGCAAGGAAAAGTGAGGTTGGTTTCAGCAAGCCTCGCTGCTCTTCGTATATTCACATGCTTTGCTTAAGTTAATCTGCAAATGTTATAGCTAAGATGACAATGCTTACTTTCTGGAATACTCAAAACATGTAAACTGCTCGTCAACAGTATGCTTTTTCAATCCAGACTGTCGAGCATATATCTAATTTACCAAAAAATTACAATGTCAGGTTTTACAACCAAAAAGGGAAGCAATGTAATTGGTTAGACAACAAAATCAAAATGGAGAGAAAAAATCTTCAGTGACCACCTTTTTCATAAAAGGTTCATAAAACTCCGGTGAAAGATAAGCCAAGGTTGTTCCACTGTCAATTACTACCCCGTTCCGGTCTTCGAAAAGGCCAAATAAATCTGTGGGAAAATCTACAACATCGCCACCCACTTCAACGGACTTCACCGTAACAGTATAATGTGGCCTGAGATCATTTCAATAAAAATAAAATTATCACAAATTTCATATGCGAATTACAGCATATTTTTTATTGAAGTTAAGTATTACGAAGCATTCTGAGATTGTGTGACATACAGATTTGGTATCAGCGGAGTTGTGTTTTTCACTTTTGGTTCCACCACTTCCCCAATGGCCCAAATTCCACCACCTTTCACGTTATCCAAGCAGTGTGCGAATTGTTTTTTCACCTTTCCAGATGAAGACAGCTGTGAAATTACGGATGCATTTGCCTGTCCAAAACCAAGTATCCCATCAACTGCTCCAGGAGATTTACCAAGATTCCCAGATTGTTTAGCTCCGCACCTATTCCGCAACACACACAGCTTAATACACACGGCAAGAGCATAGCAACAATGAATTATGCAAATTCAAAGTCAGCCAATTCAAACAGACAACGGGAAGCAACAAAAAAGACGCTGAATGTAATCTCGTTATGCATCTCTTATTGAGCTAGTATTAGTATGACAAAGGCACAAGACTCACCCGAATACTACGGTTCCATATGTTGAGGTTGTTTGATGATTTCCATTGACTTTATCAAGTTGGATATTGTCCTTGACATAGTAACCAGAAGTTGTGCTTCCATCTCCGTACGAGATACTATAATTGCAAAGCATATCTGCCTTGCAATCAGGAAGTTTACCGTTGAATGAGGAAGTGCAGAACTCTTGATCACATGTAACCTTGCTTGAAGTTGAAGAGCTCTTTGCATCATACATTGTGAGCTTAAACTGTATCACAATAACAATAACGATAAGTGCTGTGGAGATCATAAAATAGGGCGAAAAAAGAAGGCAAAGGTGGAGGCAAACGTACACCAAGATTATTTTTAGTAGGACAGTTGCTGCACTCTGCACAATTCACCCATAAAACGTCACTTCCTGTATCAACTTGCACATGAAAGTCCTTTGAAGGAGAGCCAAGTCCGATTTTCGCGATGTAGAGCCTAAATCCAGCCAGGCAAATGCAATCTATAAGTATCATAAAAATTAAATTTGCACCCAACTGAAAACTATGACAACATAAGTACACATGATGCAATTGATATTAATTTACGAAAGCTCCCAATACATGAAAGGGGACGCAGTTGCTTATAAATATTAAGCTTTTAATATACAAAGATATTTTACTAATAAACGGGGGATTAGGCTGTCACAACCATAATAATTAGGTATCGAACTGTAGTGCTAGCGGCGGATATAAATACATATTAAGTTAAGCAAGTAGATTATATAACATCAGAAGTAGAGAGATTGCCTTAATTTACCAACGTTAGCAATTTAACATTACTAATGAAATTTTATGTTAAAACAACAAAGGAAAAATTTGGAAAAAGAGACAATTAATTGTGGATGAAGGAAAGCAATTACGCACCCGGCTTCAGAAGGATGGCCATTGCCACCTAATTGCAAATCTATAGCGGAGTCTGCGCCGGCGAGAAGCCTCCGGTGACGGCGAGCATCATGTTCTTTCCATGCACCCAAAGACACCTGCTTCCCAGGACCCTTAAACTTATGGTTCACCGGAAACACCATGTTACCCGAGACATTTACTGCCGAAGCGAAAAAAACCAGAAAACCACCCAACAGCGCTACTCTTGTCCTTGCTGTTGCCGCCATTTTGAAAATTTTAAGGTCACTTAACCAAACCGAGATTGAATAAAAGAAAATGTTTGGATTGGACCCGACAAACAACAGCCACCTTTTTTTGCAGCCAAAACCCGGATTTTGGAATAATTGGTGATAAGTTGGATTAGAAGTGTGGGTTTTGTGGGAAAATCATGGCCGAGTTGGGTGGAGAAACGAGCAGGCAACAAGGTGGGTGGCCCGGTGGGGAGAGAGAGGGAGAGAAAGCATATGATGTGTAAACAGGGAGTTTATGCAAGAAAGAAAAACGGAGAATCGAGAGAGAGAGAGAGAGAGAGAGAGAGAGAGAGAGAGAGAGACGAGATTGTTGGGGGATTTCAATGGCGAAAGACACGTCTTTCCAAAATAGTAAATTTCGTCAACTTTGTAATTGTTTTACTTTTTTTGACTTATTTTCACAATTGGTCTTTTGGTTTCGTTGTCGATTTTCTGGTTTGTTATCTGCTTTTTTATTTATTTATTTATTTATTTATTTTTAATTCTTTAGTTTATCCTTAATTACTGGGATTTCTGTTTCCCATGTATTCTGGATATTCTTCAGTTTTTTATTTTTTATTTTTTTATCAAAGCTTAAGAGAGCAACATTTATTACAAATAAAAAACACACACTTTACAAGCCGAAAAAACAAACACAAACCAAAGGCCCAAAACTAGCATATGAACAAGCAAAAAATGGGCCAAAGAAAAACAAACAAAAGTACAGCTCAAGCAACAGTTTGAGCCCATAATGGAAAAAAATAGTTCGAGAAATCGACTGCAACGGCAGCACGATCCGTCCAATTCCACTCCTCTAACCTCATGTCAGCTCGCCGATTGTAACATCCAACTCCAAGCACCACCAGGTACACAGCCGCAATTGAAGAAATCCAACAACCAAATGAAGAAATCCAACTACCAGAAGAAAGAAGTCTGTAAGAACCCACGGGGCAACACTACCGCTGAAGGCAGACATAGATGAGAAGGTGGTGGTGTTAGGAACACCCGAGCCTATGCAAGCATTGAAGCTCTACACACCGTCTCAGTAAAGCAGGACTGCATATAGGAGTAAGGATGAAATACGAAGAGGGACGCAGGTGGGATGAGAAGAAAAGGGCAAATCGAAATAGAGAGCAGGGGGAAAACACAGTTGAAGAAAGGAAAAGGAGACAATGAGAGGAAGGGCGGAACGGCTAACCAACCCCAGCCGAAGTTAAGGTCGGCACCACCACATCTTTGCAAATTTGAAGCTCTCATACAGACAGTGAGAAGAACTCTGAAACTGAGAGAAAGTCTATCACAAGGAGAGAAAAGTGGTGCCGCTACATGATGGATGTCCTTCAGTTTTGGTTTTGGAATTTGGAGGGAAATCTTTTGCTTCAAGCCCTTCACCTCTCTCTCTCTCTCTCTCTCTCTCTCTCTCTCTCTCTCTCTCTCTCTCTCTCTCTCTCTCTATTGTTTTATACATGTCATATGTCGAAACATGATGGAACTTTTAGCAAGGCGTAACCTCAAAATATATTATTCAAACTGAATTAGTTATAAAAGAAGTGACTTTGGCATACATCGTCTCGGATCCTCCAAATCCTAAAGAGTTGTGAAGATGGTCCACGGTACGCGGCGCCCTACTCCTACCCGAACCACTCTGCTTATCAGCTTATGCTAATTGCTATGCTTGGATCACACACACGGGACATGCCGGGTAAATAATTTCTTACTAGTACTTAGAATCACAAACTAAACTATATATGTTCATCAAATTTGACAGCCAAATGACAAGGTGTTTGTACTTAGTCGAGGTTAGCAATCAAATCCTAACTTATTAATATTGTCACATCCTGGTCTGGGCCCTCACCACATTCCGGGCTCGACTCCGCCGTAGCACGATATTATCCGCTTTGGATCCCGACCACACTCTCACGGTTTTGTTTCTGGGAACTCACACGAGAACTTCCCAGTGGGTCATCCATCTTGGGATTGCTCTCGCGCAAACTCGTTTAACTTCGAAGTTCATACGGAATCCGAAGCCAGTGAGCTCTCAAAAGGTCTCGTGCTAGGTAGAGATGAGAATATAAATATAAGGCTTACAAGATCCACTCCCTTGGACGATGTGAGATGTTACAAATATCATTTGTACAAACCTTATAGGGTTTAAAGTTTTGGAACGTGAGATTCAATTTTGAGAACTAATTTTATTCATAAAAAGTATCAAGAGACATAAGTAAATAAGTGGTGCGCGTATATTTATTTCTGATTTTTAGATTAAATAAATGAAAGAACAATCAAGAGACATAAGTAGTGCGCGTAAATTATTTTTCTTTCTCATTTATATCGACGAGGCAAAATATACTGCTTGAAAAATGATGGGCCAAATGACTTATACACCACTAGGTTTTTCATTACAAAATAAATATCCCATGACTATTTTAGTCTGCTCAAAATCTGTATGCTTAAAACCATACAAGGCATCATCATTTCCATTTCCTCCATCACTTTCACCTTCCCAAAAGCTCTCCCTCCCTATCCACCACTCATTCGTATCACTACAATCCGCTAAACAACCCACAAAATTTGAACTCTCATATTGACTAAAATACCCCGATCTTTCCCACATCAAACCCAAAACCAAAAGTGGCATTCCGTCATTTTCCTTGAATAAACTATTCTAAGCGACGAAAATGTCCCCGAGTCTCCCACAAACAGCCCTAAACGTCTGAGGGCAATGCTGTCATTCCATTATCGCGATCCCCAGGCCTCCATCCACAAAACACGTTGGGTGAAGTGACGAAAATGAACGCGGATATGTCATAAGATCCCACGAACCAGAGGACAAATCAGTCATTCCAAAATCACCTCTCTCCTCTGTAATATAGTCGTTTGTTAATCTCTGGCTGCAACTGATTCACTGGGCTCTCCTCTCTTCTCTATCACAGAAAATGGCTCTGCAGTCAGCCGCACTCTCTCCTCGCTCCGTCGGCGCATCCACATCGCTACCCTGCGCCGCCAAGTACCCGATCATTTGCTCCTCCTCTGCTTCGAGTTCGAGCTGCTTCCTTTCGCAGAGGAAGAATGCGGCTGCGGTTGGAATTGGATTGAGTAAGAGGAAGATGGGCTCCTGGGGGTGTACGGTAAGGTCGAACTTGGACACTGTCGGTCCCACTGTGAATGTGGGCCAAGTCACGGAGGTCGACAAGGACACCTTCTGGCCCATAGTCAAGGCCGCCGGCGACAAGACCGTCGTCCTCGACATGTATACCCAATGGTATGTCTCTTTATGCTTATACTTCCACTTTCTGATTGGTTCCCGAGAATATCCAGGAATAAATTCGAAGGAAAAGGAAACGGAAATTAAGAAAGCAAGAAAATTTAAGCAAGTTTTCGGCTAATTTCGGGAAAAAAATTGGTGAACTGATCAGTTTTAAACGAATAGTGAAGTGCAATTTGAAAGTTTATGATTTTGTTTTAGTGGAATTTCAGAATGTTGATTTCAGCTCTTAAGTAGCTTATATAAGATATGTTGTTACAAACTTTTTGAGTTTTGAGATGCTAGTTCCCCAAACCGTTCCGGTGATTCGAATTGGTTCTGCATGCTGTAGTATTAGGTAAGCCTTTGGAAATTGAATTACTGTAACCCGGGACAATACTTGCACTGAGTCTGACCTAGCTTGTTCGTTGATTAGGGTGACCCCCTTGTTGATTTTCTGCTCATTTACCGGCATTCATGTCGAGAGTCGTGGTTAATTCACACCTCCAACATGATCCTTTCCTTATTATGATTCCATATACATGCACCTACGCTTGAATGGATCTCAGTTATTCTACATTTACGGGATCCAAAATCGTCATTTACAAATACAGTACAGACATGGAAGATGGAAAGGTGGGAGTAACAAAAGCTTTGGTCTTTGAGTGGTAGTTCAGAACCTTCGGATCGATCTTGGACTATATTTTAGATCATCATGCTTCTCATTCTATCTGTGTTACTTATGTCAAGTTGAAGATGGTGATATACTGTGTTTCAACCATTGAGACGTGATCTGAATTTAAAATGGTAGACTATGGAATAGTTGATCATTCCGTATGACGCGAGTTTAGCACATCTGGTAAGTTGTATGAACTTTGTTCTGTATTCCATAGAGGAGCGGGGATATGTAACAAGTGAAAAACAATAAAGAAGAAACGTTCGCATATATGCCTGATATGCATAACTGTATTTGCTTATAACGATCGTTATTAAGGTCAAGGCATATGTAAACCTGTAGTAGATTGAACACCTCTTCTGTTTTATTTTCTCATCCTGCTTTTGCTTCTTGGCCATTTTTAAAGCTTGAGATTAGTTACCCCATCGTTCTGCGCAGGTGTGGACCTTGCAAAGTGATAGCTCCAAAATTTCAAGAATTGTCCAAGAAGTATCTTGATGTCGTATTTTTAAAGCTTGATTGTAGCCAAGAAAATAAGGTTGGTTGGTTGGTTCCATCTGTCATGCTTGAATACTTTTTACTCAAGTGCGTTGCTGTGCTCTGTCTTATGTTAAACGGTGATTGTTTCTTGTTAGCAGCCATTGGCGAAGGAGCTTGGGATAAGGGTGGTGCCAACTTTCAAGATTTTGAAGGACAACAAGGTTGTAAAAGAGGTGAAGGGGGCCAAATTCGACGATTTAGTTGTTGCTATAGACGCTGTTAGATCGAGCTAAACCCTTTAATTTTTCTCCGTGAGATGTTAATAACGTAAAGAAAAACGTCCGCCGGAGCTGATTACTGTACTTGTATGTATCCATGGGACGCTTTCTTTGCAATTGCAGTTGAAATTTGAATGAAGAAATGTAAGCAGGTCCGTATGCCTTCATAGAAAGAGCTTATGGTGTTTTTGAAATTACAGTCCTACCCCTAAGTGCTTGGTGGCCCGTGTATGTTGCAAGCCAATGAAATGAGGCCACCGTAACACAGTGATGCAAAGCTAAAAGACAATACAACCCTTGGAATGTTTCTAATATAACAACCATACATTCACCCACCCAAGCTGCAATCTGCATTCTGCAGTGTCTCAATCTTCTAGAGAGACGATTGTCAGTCCATTTTTACAGATCCCACGAACACGATAAAGTTAAAAATTCAAATCCCAAGAGAAAGTCAAAGGTCAAATTTACGAGTTGATCTTTCCTTCGTCTTCTCTTTCTCTCCCCAGAACCCAGAACAAGTCGCAGAAGAAGAAGAAGAAGAGAAGAGAGAGAGAAATCAGAAATGTGTGGGATATTTGCTTATCTGAATTACAACGTCAACAGAGAGAGGCGTTACATTCTGCAGGTGCTATTCAATGGCCTGAGGCGTCTGGAATACCGGGGCTACGATTCCGCCGGGATTTCAATCGACCATTCTTATTCCTTCGATCCAAACACCCCCCAATCTTCCCCGCCTCCCCCCCTCGTTTTCCGCCAGGAGGGAAATATCGAGACCCTCGTCAAATCCGTCTACCAAGGTAACTCCTTTCTGTTTTTTGGTAATCCCAAGGTAACTCCTTTCTTTTTTTGGTAATCCCAAGGTAACTCCCTTCATTCTCAAATTTTCTATTGTTTTTCCATATTTGTGTGTTTCTGCATTCTGTTTGGTTGCCGAGAAAATGGTTTAGAAAATTAACATTTAAATTCTGTTCGGAAATAAAATTGACCCAGAAAAAGTGGTCTGGGTTAATTTGGCGGGTTAAACCAGTAATAATTATCGTGGTTCGGATTGCTCTGCATCATTCTTTTTCAATGAAGTATCATTCTTCTTCAATGAAATTTCATTGTTAACTTGGTATTCGGGATAATTTGTTTGTACATGTGTTCGGTTGCTGGGAAAATGGTGTAGAAAATTAACGGTAAACTCTTTTTGGAACGAAATTTGACCCAGTTAAAGTGGTCACGGTTAATTTGGCGGGTTAACCCTGTAGTAACGGTCGTAGTTTGAATAGCTCTGTTTCATTCCTTTTCGATGAAGTATGATTGGTTAAGTTGTTAGTGGGGCGGGGTTTATAGCACAGACATTGCCAGCTTAAACTTGCCTACTGAATGACAATTGGAATGCAAAAAAGAAAGAGCACATCAAAAGTTTAGAATTTGGACATTTTTCTTTTTTTGCGTAAAGGTTTCTATATCTAGCAGTAGTTTCTTTAAAGTCGGTCTCTTTGGTATTTCCCTTCTTATGCATTTATTACATCATGCAACCTCACTTTGTCCTCGGACAAACCTTATGGGGACTACGAATTATATTGCCCTTCAAACCATAAATAAATATGGGTAATAGGAGTTTGAATTCAAGTTTCGGGGGTGTTGCAGAGTTTTCACTACTAAGAGAAACTAATCAAAAGTTAACAATTAACTTTGGGCTTTCTGAATTGGCTCACCCAACCGAACCTTGTGTTTCTGGGATTTTGATGTGTGCTCGTATATATAATGATTATGGAACGCTGATTACATACGTGTACTGTATATCAAATATGTATCCATTTAATAATTTTCGAGCCCCCCTTCAAGCTCATAGTAGTGTTTGTCACACTTTTTTTGCCCGATTTCCTAGAATTAACTTTGATTTTTGTAAATCCAGAGGTTGCTGAAACAGATTTAAATTTGGAAGAATCTTTCTCTCACCATGCTGGAATAGCGCACACCCGGTGGGCCACTCATGGAGAGCCAGCTCCAAGGAACAGCCATCCACAGAGCTCTGGTTCTGGAAATGAATTTTTGGTTGTTCACAATGGAGTCATCACTAATTATGAGGTGTGTTTAAGATTTCTGTGGTGAAACTTGTTATGTTGCTCTTGATTGTTGTTTTGGCTTCTGGATTAAACACCCTTTATCATCAATGGCTTATGCTGATTTACTTCTTTACTTTTTCAGGCCTTAAAGGAATCACTAGTTCGGCACGGATTCACCTTTGAATCTGAAACAGATACAGAAGTAATTCCAAAGCTTGCCAAATATGTTTATGATAAAGCTAAAGAAGGAGAAGGTAATTTTATATATGATTAGAAGTAATTAAACATTTGCGTCATAAGTATAATTTACAATTTGGAGTTCAAAATTTATATTTGTAAATGTAGAATTGCAATTTATAAAGTACATATAATTATGTTACTTTCAGTTATCGTGAACTGATATTTTGACCGTCTTCAATTAGAACAGAACTTATTACTGGAATACTAAAAAAGTTTGTCTATTGAATTGTTCTTAGAGGCAAGAAGCTTCTTTGTCACCCTGAAGCTCATATGTTCCTACCATATTTGCCCAAAAAACATAGTAGCCAAGGCAGGAAAAGTGCTTTTGTAGGATAGGAGTGGACAGATCAACTCAATTATTTATTTAGTTCCTCCTTTTTCAGGATGAGTTCTTTTTACTGTTGTTGGGGGCAGTATAAAGCCAATCATTGTGTTATGAATGTACTGATAAACTGCATTTTCCTTTGATTGTATTGTTTGAATACTTTTTACTGTTTCACATAAATCTTAAATCACAATCTAGGGCGATGTTAGAGTGTGATGTTTATTTTTCAGGTGACCAGACTATCACATTTAGTCAAGTTGTGCTTGAGGTTATGAGGCATCTTGAAGGTGCATATGCCCTGATTTTTAAAAGCCAGCATTATCCAAATGAGTTGATTGCTTGCAAGCGTGGCAGTCCGTTGCTCCTTGGTGTCAAAGTATGCTTCATTTGGAATTAATGTTTCACAATTCTGGCTAATTTTAATTTTTAAGTGCCCACTATAGTTTCATATTGACACTATTGTATCTCTGTTAGGAATTTAACGAAAATGCTAGCGGTGGATCAGCATTTCACGATGATAATTTCCTTTCAAAAAGTGGACATGCTAAAGAACTCTTTTTGTCCAGTGATGCCAATGCTGTAGTTGAACACACTAAAAAGGTGTTGGTGATTGAGGATGGTGAAGTGGTACATCTGAAGGTACTTATTTGAGTATTGTCTTTTATTATGTTTTAATGGGGCAGTTCCATATTGGCATGATGCTTGGGGAAACTTGAGCTTTGTATTCATATAAGTTTTGTTTGTTTTTTCCTCTTTGTGGTGATTGTTTCAGGATGGAGGTGTTTCTATCCTGAAGTTTGATAAAGGACAGCATGGTGGACTTTCAAGAGTTGCATCAGTACAACGAGCGTTGTCCATTCTTGAGATGGAGGTTGAACAAATAAACAAAGGGAGTTACAAACATTATATGCAGAAAGAAATTCATGAACAGCCTGAATCTTTGACTACCACAATGAGGGGGAGGCTTTTACGTGGAGGTTCCTGCAAAGCCAAGACTGTTCTCCTTGGTGGACTGAAGGATCACCTTAAAACAATTAGGCGAAGCAGGAGAATTGTTTTCATCGGTTGTGGTACAAGCTACAATGCTGCTTTAGCTGCAAGACCCATCTTGGAAGAACTTTCTGGTCAGTGTTTTTCGTCTGTCAGAAATCCTTTTCCGATTGTTAATAACTTAATAGTTCTGATTCTTTTCCGGTTTGTTGCACATATAAACATTATAGGTATTCCTGTCACAATGGAAATTGCTAGTGATTTGTTGGATCGGCAAGGACCTATATATAGAGAAGATACAGCTGTCTTTGTCAGTCAATCTGGTGAAACAGCAGATACTCTGAGTGCTTTGGAATATGCGTTAGAAAACGGTGCATTATGCGTTGGCATAACTAATACTGTTGGTAGTGCTATAGCCAGGAATACACACTGCGGTGTTCATATAAATGCTGGCGCTGAGATTGGTGTGGCAAGCACCAAGGTAAGTTTGTTACTTTATTCTATTCTTGCTTTTTTGATTTTGTGTTTTAAATTGAGTCTTATCACCATCATGACAGGCATACACGAGTCAAATAGTGGTGATGGCTATGCTAGCACTAGCTATAGGAGGTGACACAATTTCCAATCAAGCACGAAGGGAGGCTATAATTGACGGTTTATTTGAGTTGCCAAGTAAGTTCCAGTTTTTATCTTCTTACCATGTCAACTGCAGTGCATTTCTTTGTCAGTCTGTTTTCCAAGAAGTAACTTGTAAGAAATTATTACAAAATGACTCTGTGGGGTTGTCTGTTACGTTCTTTGCAGACAAAGTCAGAGAGGTCCTGAAGCTTGACCAGATGATGAAGGATCTTGCACAGGAACTGATAGCTCATCAGTCACTTCTTGTGTTTGGGAGAGGATACAACTACGCAACATCTCTAGAGGGTGCTTTGAAGGTAAAGGAAGTGGCCCTTATGCACAGTGAAGGAATACTAGCGGGTGAAATGAAACATGGTCCTTTGGCTTTAGTTGATGAAACTCTCCCCACATTTGTGATTGCCACCCGTGATGCTTGCTTCAGGTTTGTCCTTTCACAGTTGGGAGCACTTACATGCTTTTGAAAACCTACCTGATTTTCTTATTAACGACCTTCAGTGATTTACAGTAAGCAGCAATCAGTTATTCAGCAGCTTCGTGCCCGTAAAGGTCGACTCATAGTAATGTGTTCGAAAGGAGATGCTGCATCAGTGTGCCCCGGGGGGTCTTGTCGAGTGATTGAAGTTCCTCAGCTTGAGGATTGTCTTCAACCCGTGGTTAATATTATTCCATTGCAGGTATTTATCTATTTTTCTTTGGGCTTTATTTTGCATGTATTATCAGTATTTAGGTTGGAGGTCCTGCATTTTCTTCTTATGCCGGACTTTAATGCTAGCCGTTTGTACTTTTTTAAGTATATAGTAAGACTCAATGTATAAACAGATGGATGGATAGATGGTTGTTCCTTTGAACTTGTCTGATCTCCCACGTACATCTGATATCTTTGTTTTCCTTCCCTGGTGCAGCTTCTGGCATACCATCTCACCGTTTTAAGAGGTTTTAACGTGGATCAGCCTCGGAATCTTGCGAAGAGCGTGACTACTCAGTAAACCAGGTTTCATGGATGGACATACTTGAGTATACTTGTGTGCGTTTCTAAATTATGCCAAGAAGGATTTTAGGACCTTAGCGGAATGTAATGCTGCTAAAAACACCTGATTTTTTAGAGATTATTTTGCTGAGGCTGTAATATGTATGCTGTTGGTAATGTGTGATGCTGCTGAGGTTGTACGTCTTCCACTTTGTAAATCTTTTCGTACTAGGAAGTCGGAACAATACTAACCACCCTGTCCCTCCTCCCTCTTCCGACCAAGTTTGTTTACCTTCCTTTATTAACCTGATTTCAGGTTTCTCCATCCTATTTTTCAGATTTCTCTATCCTATTTATTTTGAATTGCAGGAATATAACTCAGTACACCAACTGTCATAATATAAGTGATTAAAAATTTTTTTTTTTCCAAAGCTAGGAACATAAGGACGATTATATACGTTTTTGAGATTTTGAGTAAAATATTTTAAAATTTCAATTTTTTTTTAAAAAAAAGGATATTATCTAGGAGAAATTGTGGGCTTAGCCTTATAAGAGCACCTTCATCCTTGGAGCCCTTCCTCCTGGCAATTCACTATTGAATTCATCCTATTGAACAGTAACTACCTTTAATGAATAGTAACTTTCATTAATGAATAATAATTACTTTTTGCATCTTCACCTTTAGAGCCCTCCCCCTGGCAATAGGTAATAAAATATTAGTTTTTTTTGTTTGTTTAAATAATATAAAATTAAAAAAAACATGGAAATGGGGCTGCTGGCCCTCGGGCTGACACAAAAAAAATAAAAAAATGCCTGGCCCTCGGGCTGCAGGCCTGTCAATTCCCCACCCCCTTGTGCTCGGGCTCGCACCCTCACTCGGGCTCTCCAAGTCTGGAGGGTTGTCCATCGGGCCTCGGGCCCTTTCTTGGTGCCTGTCCCCCGAGCAATCCACAAGGGTGGACTTGCTCTAATGAGCTAATAATAATGTGGTTTATATTCGTTTTTGGCAAAAATAGAGCCTCATAATAGGCTAGCAGTAATGTGGTTCAAATTCTTTTTTGGCAGAATCGAACTTAAAACCTTTCAATTTCAACTAAACAGAAATACCACTACACTATAGTAGTGTTTTACAATTTCCACTTAAGATGCCTTGAGAAGAAATAAAAGTGATTTTCAATTTGCCTCCAGCAAAAGTTTAAAACAAAAATAGGAAACGAGTGGAATTTATAATTTTCGGTCATAAAAAAAAAAAAAAAAAAAAAAAAAAAATATATATATATATATATATATAAAAGGGGAGTCCATTTCAAGTTTCAAGCAGAAGCAAAGCTAGTGGAGTCGAATGCTCTGAAACCCTAAATATTAAAAACCCCCGCCACCGCCCCAGCCCCCAAATTAATTGAGGAAGAAGAAGCAGCAGCGACTCAGATAGTCGGCGGAAACAATATGGGCGGGCTTCAACTACTCGACAGCGGAAGCGACTCCGAGAACGAAAACGGAAACGACGACGTTCCGCAGCTCAAAATCAATGAAGATTTCGCTCGCAGGTACGAACACAACAAGAAGCGGGAGGAGCTCCAACGCTACGAGGAACTGAAGAAGCGAGGCCTCGTGGCTGACCCCTCCGAGGATTCAGACTCTGAACCGGATTTTGAATCGGACGACGACTACGTCCATGTGGCAAATTCCAAGAAGAGGGAATTGGAATTTTTGGATGGTCTGCTCAAGGTAAAAAAGCAAGACCCTATCTTGAAAAACAAAGATGTTGTTTTGTTTAATTCTGATGGAACTGAAATTATCGGAAACAATGGAGGAGAGGGAAAGGCAAAGAATAAGAAGAAGATGTACTTGAAAGATGTTAATGCTAAGCATTTGATGGAGGATGGCCCGGAACTGGCCGAGGAGGATGACAAGAACATTGATAAAAACAGTAAGGTTTACAACGAAGAGCAAGAGCGGATAAGGAGAGAATTCTTACAGGCCGCTGCAGCCGAGGAGGATGATGATGATGGTGAATTTTTGATAGAGATAGAGAAGAATGCTGCATGAATGACAATGATGGGAATGAATTGACGAGATTTGATAGATGAGAAATTGGACGATGTTTCAAGAAGGCTTTGGACGAGTGTGTTAACCAATCAGCTGAAAGGATCAGGAAGCTTTAAGGAGGATTAAGGATCCCGAGAGACGAGGATGGAGATGTTTGAAGTGTCCAGGACAGATGAGAAAGGCAGGTGATCGGGGGCATTCCAGGCAAGGTTGAGGCGGTGAGGAAGAAGGTCAAGGCGAGGAAGGAGCAGAGGAAGAGGAGGAGGATGGAGATTGCAAGGTTGGAGAGGGAGGAGGAGTTGAGGCATTTGAAGAATTTGAAGAAGAAGGAGAACGACGAGAAGGTTAAGAAGATAATGGAGATTGCGGGGCTTAAGGAGGGTGAGGAGTCTACATTTGATCCAAAGGAGTTGGAGAAGGAATATGATCCCCAAGAATATGATAGGATGATGAAGAAGGCTTTCGGTGAGGAGTATTATCAGGCAGAGGATGCTGACTTAGAGCGTTATAGTGATATGGAGGAGGATGATGAGATTGAGAAACCGGACTTTGATAAGGAGGATGAGTTGCTTGGGCTTCCTAAAGGTTGGGAAACCGTTGGGTCTAGTGATGGGTTCTTAGCTGCCAGGGAGAAGGTTTTGAAGCGGAAAAAGGAAAATGTTTGTGACCATGAAGAAGAGGAAGAGGAAGAGGAAGAGGAGGAGGAAGTAGAAGAAAAGGAAGAGGAGGAAGAAGAAGAAGAAGAAGAAGAAATGAGTGAGGAAGATAAACAAGAGAAAAAGCGTAAATTAGCTTTATTGGAGAGAGCTAAGAAGGAGATGATGGATGAATACTATATTTGGATACATTGGAGACAATTGAAGACTTGAAGACAAGATTCAAGTATGCTAAAATAAAACCTAATAGATATGGCTTGACTACTGCCGAGATATTAGCGATGGATGAAAAGGAGTTGAATCAATATGTGTCTTTAAAGAAGCTTGCTCCTTACACAGAGAAAGAGTGGAAGGTACCCAACAACAAGAGAATGGAGATAAAGCAGAAAGCTAAAGAGATTTTCAGACAAGGAAATGTGGGTAATAAAAAGAATCGCAAGAAGCTGAGAATAAGTGATGCAGCTAAGGATTCGAGCTTATCAAAGGGTGCCACAGGGCAATCATCAATGAGTGCCCGGGAACATGGGAAAGAACTAGTAGGGGACTCAAATGGTGGTAAAACAGAATCGAGGAGTGCTAGAAGAAGGCGTCACCAAGCTGCGAGAAAATTACCAGCTTCTAGGCTCATGGCATATGGGGTGGTACCTGTAAAATCTAAGAAAAAAGGAAAGCACTGATCTGAACCACTAGTTAAATTGGAGCATTAGACAGGTGATTATTTCACAAACTCATAACCTTAAGCTTATATCATACAGTGTTTGTTACTTTGTTGTTTGATATTGTCTTTCCCCTCTCCCTTTTTTGCATGGTATGTTTTTGTATTGGTTTAAAGCTCTGATGTGGTTACTGGGAAAAATTGTTATTGCCTCGTAGAGTAGCAATAACTATGTGCATGGAGTGTTGTAGCAAAATTGCACGTTGTAGGTCAAAGTCAGACTTTTTTTGGGGAAAATGGTTGTTGATATACAATCTGATAGTATAATACATTGGGTGGCATGTACTATTGTATGGAACATTGAGTGGGTTAGGGCATTGGACGGTGGCACTCTGAACTCTGGTGAATATGATCACTGTTACACCGTAGACTATTATGCTTGAGGAAAGGAAAAGCAAGACTGGAAGAACACCATGATTGAGTATAGTGATGGGAACCATAGTCATACACATATATAAACTTATGTATAGAAGCCTATCCATTTCTAATAAATAATATTTCTTTGCCCAAGTTATGTTCATTGAAACTATGCCGGTCTTTTAATCATTTTCTACGACTTCCTGTTTGTTAGCTAGGTGAATTCTTAGCCTTAGTCTTATACACATGATATTTTAAGCCAAAAGAAAGCCGTATTTTATTTTGTTTTCATATATCTATGTGGGTGGTAAATATTTCATTGCATGGGTGTGATTTCCTTCAATGTTATGGATTCATTTTGGATTTCAGTTGAAATCATACGCGTTAGATCATTTGTTTTTCATGTCCACAGGTGGAGGACTGGAATTTTGAGAAGATGAAGTATCTCGAGGGTTTTGTTGAGTCAATAGCATAGCAGAGGCTAACCGCTTCAGAACAAGTTGAAAGGAAGACTTGGTGATTGTGACTGTCACCTTTTGATTTTGCATTTTATGTAAACTTAGGCTTTAGAAATCTGAATAAACTACATCATTGTTGTTTTCCAGTTGTTGAATACAGCTATTTATCAATGTCGACGATGTGCGGCAGCCAAAGGTTTCTTCTGATGGATCATCTTGTTCATGTGTTCTGTTTGTTGGAAGTTTTCAGTACAATCAAATTGAAAGTTTCTTATTTATATGTTTTCACAAGTGATCTCCACTCCCTTTTTCTTCCCGATACACCTGCTTGTGTTTGGTATGTTGGAAATAAAGCATGGAAATGGGAAATCACTTTCTTTCCCGTCATTTATTGCAGATTTTTAACATTAATTACAATTTTTACGACAAATATTATTCACACGCCAAAATAATTTGTTATTTGTTAATGAAATCATTTTTCTTTGTTTTGTTTGTTAATGATAAAAACTAATTAGGAGGTTGGCTTCTTGTTGTATTGCGGTGGTGAAAGTCCATTTAACTGATAAACCCAAATAAGCTATCCGTTCCAGCCTGCATTCTTTTAACTTAACCCTCTCACCAATAAAAAATAAAAAAATAAAAAAAATAATAAAATAATAAAAAATCAGAACCAATCAACAAACACAAACAGAAGCTCTCTCTCTCTCCTCTCTATCTCACCCGGAATCACAGAACAAAGGGTAAGAAGGAAAGATGGGCTCTTTTCCAAAATCCCTAAATTCTGATATATGGGTTTCGATCCTCTGCCTTGTCCTAGTGGCGTTCCTCCTCCCCCTCCCCGCCAGCGGAACTCCGTCGTCGAGCATCTACGACCACCTGCGGAAACAGGGCCTGCCGATTGGCCTCCTCCCCAAGGGCATCACCGACTATTCTCTCAACGCCACCACCGGAGAATTCCGAGTGTTGCTGGAGCAGCCCTGTCACGCCAAATTCGAGAACCAGGTGCTCTACGACTTTAACGTTTCCGGCTTTCTGTCTTTCGGCCGAATCGCCAACTTATCGGGCGTGTCGGCTCAGGAGCTCTTCCTCTGGTTTCCGGTCAAGGGGATCAGAGTCGATGTGCCCAGCTCCGGCCTCATTTATTTCGATGTCGGCGTCGTCGATAAGCAGTTCTCTCTCTCCCTCTTCGAATCGCCGCCTGATTGCACCGCCGTTGACCCTTCTGATCCCAACTTCAATCCTGCCGCTCAGGAATCCAACCACTATTCCCCTTCCCCATCCGGCTCGTCATCGTTCGAGGTAAATTTCTTATAATCTGCTTCATTTTGTGTCCTGGGGTTTTGTTGATCTGATTAAGGTTTCCAATTTTAGGATTTACTGTGGTTTCATTATGTTTTGCTTAGGAACTATGTTATGCTTTCTCAGCTAATTCATTAGTTAAGCAAGAACACGCATAATTCATAGGTTGAAACAATTTGTGAGGAGTGGACAACTCGGCACTAACCAACCCCTAGGTTTAGCGGGTGTATTCAGTTGAGATTTTAAAAGGATTCTGACGGAGTTCAATTGGCTTTCATGGACTCCACATGGACTTTTGAGTGAATTCTATATGGATTTTATTGTGACAAACTTTTTATCATAGATTGTAGTGGATTGTAATAGACTTCTATGGATTCTCATGAGCATTATAGGGCTCATTTTGGTAGAAAGGATTAGATTGAAAGGGATAACCCTCTAATTTCAAGGCATATGGAAAGTAGATGAGAATGATTTTTCATTGTGAGGCCTGGGGATTAGAAGAGGAGACATAAAGGAAACTTTTCCCATCTAATCCTCCCATTTTGGGAAGGATTGGAATGGAAAACTTTTCTTCTTGAGTAATCCTTCTCCTACCTCTAAATTGCTCACAATTGTTTCATTTCGTTGTTCAGCATACCTATAAAAGTAGTGTCTTATCCATTCCAATCCAATCATGTTTACCAAACGATGCCTTAGTGATCTGATTTATGGGCGTTTTTATTAGTTTCAAACTTCCAATATCCAAAATGGTGGCGAGTGATCGTTTGTGGTGTTGGTGGTAGTAGTATAAGCGGTGGTGGTGGTGGACTCATCAAATGGTAAAGTGTACACAAGTCTACAGGGATTCTATTTAGTGGAACATGGTGGGTTGTAGAATTTCATGTAACTCACAAACTCTGCGTAGCACGGCATATGAAATTTTTGTTGACTCTTTTAGTAACTGGAGCTTTTGGGACATGCTGGATTCCTGCGTTAAATATGCGGCACATTCTTCCCTATTAATTTTTTGGGTTTTGCTTTGCCTCCTTTCTCTGTGTTTTATGTCCGGTTGAGTTAATACATCCTCAGTAGCTTCAATTGTGTTTTAAATCCATGCTGAAGATTTCATTCTTGTGAAATCATTTAATACGTTCTCAGTAGCTTCTAACGGGTTTGTAAAGTTTTGTTGTTGCTCTGATTGTTGTCTGTCTGTGCCTAGGGTCTATGTATTATTCAATATTCATTGAGTATAGGACAATATTTGAGGTTTAAATTATTTTCAATTGTATACTCATCTTTGTGCGACAGAAAACTAACATTACAGCAATTTTCATCAAGACAAATTTGTTGGGAGCCGATACGTTACTTGAATATACTCTTCTTTTAAAATTTCAAGTGTTTTTTTTCTTCTATATATATATATATATTTTTTTTTTTTTCTGTCTGGTGATGTTATCTTGGTTTCCTTTTAAGATTTTCAACTAGTCTTCAATTGCAAGGATTCATTATTGCGAACCCAAGCAGTATCAATTGGTTGAGGCACTTCGATCTTTGTCTGGATTAGTACTTACCCATACTATTCTATTTATTCTTCAATTGAACTTCTTTATGCTGATATTTTGTGTTGTTTAAGAAATATCACTCTTCACTTACCGTGTCAACTGTTGGTAGATGAGATTATCATATAGAGCATGTGATAGTTCTGAGTGGATGCGTCTAAATTTATAGTGTGATTCTTGCTTTTATGGATTATGTAATGTCACTAATTATCATGCCGGTCGATGTTTTCTTAGTACTGCTTTCAAGTAAATTTTTTTGTGTCTATTTGAGCTGGTGCTAAAGTTGTTGAATAAAAATTGTGCAGAATGAATCACTGAATCTTGGGTATGGAGTTGGTCGGAAAAGTGAGCTGAGGGCCGATTCATAGGTTGTGCAGGCAGAGATATGATTGAAGTTAACTCAGTCAACTTGGGGGACTTATAAGCTCTTGTTGGGTCTTCTTTTCTCTGAAGTGGATGTCAAAGGTTCTAGTTTGGCAGGTCCTAAGCTTTAAGTATGTGTGCTTGGTTGCTTGCTATGCTGTATGTATGTACATGTTGGCCTGAAACTTGTGTCTTTGTGCGGAAAATTAGAACAATTTTGGTAAAGACGAGAGAGAGTATGGAAGAGAAAATGAAGATTAAAGGATCTATAAATTTAGTAGGGTGAGACAGGGAGGGATGGGATCGAGTTGGTTGGTTTTGGGTGACTAGTTTTCTTGAAATTTATGTCAATTGTTATATCATTTCAAGTTTACATATTATAGATACAATGACATGAGTTGTGTATTGAGTTTCTTTTGTGATAATATATGTTGAGGTTTTTAGTTCTTTTAGTTCTTACGGCAGGCATGATATGTTTTTGCATTTTGCCCTTCCTTTGTTTGACATTATTTCTTTATGTCAGTACATTTTGTAGCTTCAAGTCTGAAAATTTTGTAACATAGCAGTTTATGGCATGAGTTTTGTGTTTGCAAAGTAAGGGTAAGGCTGGCTACGGTAGACGCCCCCCACCCACCTTGCAAAACGGGGATCATTGTTGGCTTGGGGTCGCCCGTTTAGCAGTTTATGGCATTAAAATTTAGTATTATAGGAGTCAACATTATTGTACCACATTGTGTTCGCTGGGCTCATATCTACTAGAAGAGAATGACTTGCATAAAGCGGGTGACCACTATGTGGCGTTTCGGTCTAATAATATATTGCTGTGTAAGTTTTTTTTTTTTTATGATTAGACGGGATTCCATGATGGTAGTGAATTTCTTCTATATAAGTTGGGCCTTAATTAATCTGGCACTTGTTGTATTAGTGAATCTTGGGCTCAACTTGGGCCTCAATTACTAGCCCAATAAAGTGACTACTAAAATATCCAAGCCCATTGCTCAATCTTTCTTTCACTCTCTTACTCTTTAACACACGACACAAAGCAACTCGCAAGTCAAACCTTGCAGCTAGTGGTTATGGCCTATCTCCTTCACCTCTCCATCACCCCTAAAACCTTAATCCCAAAATCTTACATTCCCTCTGCTTGCGCGCCTTCCCCTCAACCCTGTTTGTCTGGTCACTCTCCTTTCCTCAATTTGTCAACCGAAAATCCAAACCTAAATCCTCCACCATTACTTGCAGCACAACAACCCCCGCCACAGATCGGTTGATATCTGCCGTCCCTTACACCTTTCCTTTCTTCAACTCCCTCTAGTATGATCGCTACCTGTTTATGCAATTTCCCAAATTGGGTTTCCTCTTTGAACCCTTGATCCTGTTGTTGACCCTTACTCGAACTTCATGGCCTTCTTCGCCCTCTACTTAGGCGTCATTGAACACCTTAACTTCAACCATTATGTGTGGTTCAATGCGATACAGGCAATGACGCTCGACGTGTTGTTGGTGTTGTTGCTCGTCCAGAGGATTTTCAGTTCGGGTTATGGTACAAGCTCCTGGTATGGGGGCATAATGGTGTTTTCGTGAGCCTTTTTTTGCTTCGTTTATGGTTTGGTTAGCTGTATTTTGGGTCAGACTCCGTACCTGCCCTTGGTTGTTGATGCCGCTGGCCGGCAGCTTTGAAAAAATCAACTTGTACCAATTTAGGTATGGCATTTGTGTTGTATAATGTCACTAATTATCACGTCGGTCGATGTTTTCTTAGTACTGCTTTCAAGTAAATTTTTTTGTGTCTAATTGAGCTGGTGCTAAAGTTGTTGAATAAAAACTGTGCAGAATGAATCACTGAATCTTGGGTATGGAGTTGGTTGGAAAAGTGAGCTGAGGGCCGATTCATAGGTTGTGCAGGCAGAGATATGATTGAAGTTAACTTAATCAACTTGGGGGACTTTATAAGCTCTTGTTGGGTCTTCTTTTCTCAGAAGTGGATGTCAAAGGTTCTAGTTTGGCAGGTCCTAAGCTTTAAGTATGTGTGCTTGGTTGCTTGCTATGCTGTATGTATGTACATGTTGGACTGAAATTTGTGTCTTTGTG